ACTCACTGGTACGTGAGGACCTGGTGTCCGAGCTTGGTGCAAGAGTAGGTGCGCCAAGGAGTATTCTAAAAGCTGCCAATGGCACACCAATCAACGTGGTGGGCAGTGTCGAGCTGGTTTTCAAACTGGCCAAGATAGAGACCGTTGTCAGACTACGTGTCATACAGAAGAGTGATCTGTTATTCAAGTGCGTTCTAGGTTTTGACCGCACTCAAGTTGGATGTATTGACAAGCAAGAAGTTAATAACCAACAATCAAGGCTGGTCCAGTAAGCTGTTCGCTTCATCGGATGTCAAGACCGCCGTAGGTTCTATCGTGGATGTCACCGAGGCCATAGCCATTGTCAATGAGTCAATGCCAACTTTAACAAAGTCCAAGCCTGAATCTACAGAGTCAGTGGAGGATGTGTTGAATGACTACGATGATATCTTTGCTGAGAAGTTGGAGAAAGCTTGCCAAATCACTGTTGTGGAACATGAGATCAACCTCATCCAAGGTGCAACTCCAACTACTGCCCGTCTCCAACACTTTTCAATCAAAGAGAAGGCATTCTTGGAGACCGAGATTGATAGACAACTCAAAATGGACTCTATTGAGGACTCGTCATCTCCATTCTCCGCTGCGCCAGTCCTTGTTCCAAAGGGTGACAGCTATCGTCTTGTCGTGTCGTACAAGAAATTGAACGACATCACCATCAAAGACAAGTACCCGTTACCAAGGCTGGAGGAGCAATGGGCCAACTTTCATGGTGCCACTGTGTTCAGTACCATTGATATGTTGAATGGTTACACGCAACTCGCCGTCGCCAAGGCCATCCGTCCTATGACTGCATTCATCACTCATACTGGTCTTTACCAATTCAAGAGTTTGCCGCTCGGTCTGTGTAACGCTGTGGCTACATTCTCTCGTTGCATGTACACTATCTTCAAGTCATTGATCAACAAAGGTATATTTTTGTACCTCGATGACGTTATTCTCTATTCCAAGTCTCTTCCAGAGCATGTCAAACTACTGCGTCAAGTGTTTGAGATACTACGCAAGCACAACTTCAAGGTGAACGTCAAGAAGTGTGTCTTTGCCAAAGATCGACTTATCTTTCTTGGCTACCTCATATCCAACAAGGGTCTCCAGGTTGACCCAGCCAAGTGCAAGGCTCTCCAGGAGCTCAAGCAACCTGTCAATGTCACAACTCTGTTGTCCTTCATTGGTCTGGTCAACTACTCAAGAGCATTCGTACCTCATCTCGCCAGTCTCCTAAGACCATTGTATCTACTCACCAGRAAGGATGTACCCTGGGAATGGACTCCAGAGTTGGAGCGAGTTCGTCAGAAAGTGATCAAACAGTTGTGTGAGGCCACAACATTGTCCTTTCCAGACCTGTCATCGTTGTGGGTGCTCGAAACAGATGCGTCCGCATATGGAGCAGGTGCTGTGTTGCTCCAGAACAACAAGGTTGTTTCTTACTTCTCCAAGACATTCAACTCTGCCCAAGTCAACTACTCGGCCACTGAGAGAGAATGTYTGGCCATTGTATTGGCCATCGAGCACTACCGTCCATACCTACATGGCACCCGGTTCACAGTGATCACCGACCATCAGCCATTGCGCTACTTGTTCACAGCCAWGATGAACAGTCGTCTGATCAGATGGGCTCTGTTTCTGCAAGACATGGACTTTGAGATTGTGTATCGTCCTGGACATCTCAACAAAGCAAGTGACTGCCTATCCCGTGACCCGGTCAAAGACGAGGAGACCGTCAACATCGTTGGTGCCACGGAGGAATTGTCAAGAGATGTGTGGATCAGAGAGATCAAGGCAGATCCCCAATTGATGCTTTTCATCAACTACATTGAGAAGAAGGAGCTGCCAGAGGACCAACATCTGGCTCGTCGAGTGGTCATTGAGTCAGAGTTCTTCCTATATAACAAGGGCATCTTGTTTCGTGGTTCCAAGCATCCTGAATCACGTGTTGGATCAACATCGCCAGTKGTCAATCCAAGAGTGTGTGTCCCAGCCACGGTCACATCGCGCATCGTCCAGCTCTTCCATGACGATCCAATCCATGGAGGACACTTTGGTATTRCCAAGACCATCTACAAGATCAAGGAGAGATACTTCTGGCCGGGAAWGATAAAGGAGATCAAGGAACATGTTCAGACGTGTCCAACTTGCCTTTCAACAAAGAGAAAGTACACCAGAGAGGGTCTACTCATTCCCATCGAGTCGTCTCGTCCGTTCGAGTTGGTCGCTTTGGACTATCTGGGTCCACTCACYGAGACCAAGGATGGTAACAAGTACATCCTGGTCATCGTCGACCACTTCACACGTTGGGCCGAGGCATTCCCAACCAAGGACAAGTCCGCTGAGACTGCCGCACACCATCTKTTCACTGACTGGTACTGTCGATATGGCGCTCCAATGAAGTTGTTGAGTGATTGTGGAGGTCACTTCCTGGCTGATGTCATTGTCCAGATGAACAAGATCTTCGACATCAAGAAGGTGAACACCAGTCCCTATCATYCCAGGACCGATGGAATCTGTGAGAGATTCATACAGACAATCATCCAGTTGCTTCGAGCCTACTACTATATGTACCAGTTGTGATTAGGTGAGTGCGTATATTGTATGGAACTGAGTGTTTGTTAACTGACACTATGGGAAGTGGTTCGATTGAGTATAATACCAATAATCTATTATACCAATATCCGATGTGAGATGATCTAGATGTAGTAGTCCATACTACAACGAGCGCGAGTTAGTGAGTAAGATCACTACATTACCTCCCCTTGAGACGAAGCCTCTTGAGCTTAGGCAGCAGGCTTCATTCGATCCACGTTGACAGTCTTGATGTARCGACCTGGTAGGTCCACACAGAAGGTGTTTGGTCCGAGAGCCTTGAGGATACGATAAGGACCATGCCAAGCTGGTACAAGCTTGKAAGCACCTTGGACAGAACTGGTCTCAGAGGCACTTGGCATGTGGACATAGACTGGATCTCCAACCTTGTACTGTGGAACAGAACGACCACGATTGTGACTGAACAGGTTGGCTTCATTGCGGGCCATCTTGTTCTTGTATGATTGGTAGTAGCCAAACTTCAAAGAGTTCTCTAACTCTTCGGCGTACGACTCAGGCTTCTGGAGGACAATCTCTCCAGACAGTGGATTGACTTTGAAGTTGGTCTCGACTGCGATCTTGGCAAAGCGACCAAAGAGTAGTTGGTATGGAGAGAAACCAGTTGTAGTGTGCGGTGTGATGCGGTACGTGAACATGACACCCTTCAGGTAGGCATCCCACTTATCTGGACAGTCATGAGAGTAGTAGAATCTCCAAACACACCTTATCCTCTTCAAGACCTAGATTCTGATCAAGGCCGAGTGGGCACGAGCCAAGAATACCTGCCAGAGACTGTACACCAAATTCACCAACACTACCAACTCACAAGCGAAGAAGCAATCCACCTACTAATCTGCCACCACTCAACTACACCTGTCTAAAATAAATTAAATTAAATCCTTTTTTGGTAATGTCTATTACCTCCTTTTGTCCCCCTGCCACTGTCCTTTATCTCATTTGTAATAAAAAACACAAGACAGTTTATTAAAGTCATGTTTTAAACATACCTTTTCATAGTTTTACAAACATAGAGATACATACACATAGATATCTTTGTTCACCATGAGATGGACAACAAGGTATTCCATTTCAAACTTGATCGGAATGTTGGCTCACAACAACAAGGAAGCACCAACAGTCCCAGTCAGGCACGTCAAGTATCTAGTAGTCAGCCAACAACAAACAGGCACCTTAATGTGAGACCTTCGAGTCAGCCATCGATTCTTGTTGGCACTCAACATCAAGAGTGTAGGCCCAGCCTGAAGCAATGGGATGAGAGTTTGGTCAGTAGATATGTGAGTCGATCACCATCGGGACCGAAGCTGCTCAGTAAATAGTTGTAGAGTGGCCGAGTACCTGACAGATGGGTACCCTGCTCATCTCATATCTTTGTCTAGACGAGCAGGTACCGTACTTAGGTACGTCAGGTGGCGTAGGAAATTATACCTACTCGGCCACTTTACAACTATTTACTGGGTCTTAATGTCCAATTAATTTTGTTTGTAGATTGGCCACAACAAAGATACAAACTAGTTTCGCGATTAAATGAATAAATTTCTTGGCCAATCTACAAATGATATCAGATTGGCCAGTCTACAAATGATAGGTCTTGGGAACATGGACACGAGCAGCAACATCAACATAAACAACAACAACAATCATACATATCAATATACTTATAACTATTATCTCTATTTAATACCACTATTGTACAATTAGGAAATGTCTGTGAACAAGGCCGTATTCTTCACTCAATCAGATCTGGTTGGTTTGGAGCAGCAGATGACCGCCACCGGCGTCGTAAACATCCTTTCTATTGTCAACTTTGTTGCTGATCCACTCAAGGTTGGCAAGAACTTGGCCAACGACAAGGAGTTCATTGGCAAGTGCATAACCAAGGCTTTGTAAGTTTTATGATGTATCTCGGCCATCAACCCAGAGTCTAACTTGATATAACAGGGACACCGTGCCAGGCATTGGTCCAATTCTCTCCCAGACCTTTGCTCTCTTCTGGCCCAAGGATCCAAATGCGGCAGTGATCACCAAGGCCGCCCTCGAAGCCAGGTTGAAAAGCTTCAAGGACGAGCTGATGACCTTGGTAGATGAAAGGATCGACAAGGCCATGGGCGAGGCCTGGAAGATGATCTGCATCAACTTCTTTGACAATGTCAAGGACTCGTATGCTCAGCTCCAGGAAAAGGTGCTCATCTTGCAAAAGATGATCTCCCTCAAGCTCAACACCACCGCGTTGCAGACCCAGATCCGCGCAACCCTGGACTCGATCCTCATGCAAGCCGGAATGATCATCAACTTTGCCAACGACACGAGGTTCTTCAAGAGCATGTTGCCAACTTACATGCAGGCCCTCATGATCCAGAACTCGATCTTCCTCATGATGAACGTATGTTCTGGAATGATTCCTGGCCTTTATCTACATGGACACTAACCATCCAACCAACCACACCAGACATACTGGATCCAGTTTGGAATCCCTCCCCTTGTTGTCTCGGGTATCCCGGCCGAGGGCGACAACCCTGCCGTGAAGGGCCTAACCCAGGCCTACCATGATAGGGCTGTTGATTTCATGAACCTTGCCTTTAAATTGATCAACGATACTCTCATTACTCCAGAGACCAGGAACACTACGGAGTTTGACAGCTTCCTCAGCAAAGTCTCCAATGTGCTCGATACCGACATGTACCTCTACCCCGTGCCACTTGTCGTTGGAACAACAACGGTCACTCCAACCTCCGCCACCGTTCCTGTGCACAAGGTCCCAAAGAAGACAGGTGCCTACATCTACCGTTGTCCCTTTGCCAACTTCCTCCCAGACCAAGAGTAGGTATCTCAGCCTCTGCTAGTGCACTGGCACGAGTCACTTTCTAACGCATCTTCCTCTCCCATATCATGTTCCCCACCCTTCCACAACATCCACGACAACTTCCATGCATCCACAACAACCTCCACTACGTCCACCCTCCCGTAGACGCCAGAAGACTCATCATAACAAGTTTTTTGGCGTTGGCGACTCTATCACCAAGTGCAGTGGATTGGGCTTCAACTGGAACGGTTCATTCGCAAGCCTGGACTTTGCGCTGGAGGAGCCAAGGAAGGTTGCCTTCAGAGTGCATGGCTTGTACACCGAGACGCTCACCGGTTTGGAGCTGACCGTCAACAATGAGAAGGTGACTCTGCCCCTTGTCCAGGATGACTATCCCGTCATGTGGCAAAAGGATGAGTCGAAGACGCCAGTATTTGACTTCTACGACAAGAAGACAACTTCCGGATTCACCGTGTCTAAGCAGTTTGCAGCGAGCCAGAGCTTCAAAGTCAAGCTGGGTGTCATAGCACCTGAGGGCGTGTTGAAGGCCTTCTTCCCCTTTATCGAGCTGATTATTTGCGATTAGGATCGGAATATTCATCTTCTGTTAAACTGATCGACGGCATTGCCATTGCTCTGGATGCCACCAATGTTCGGTCCCAACACTCTTCATAGAATAAACTCCTGTTACACCTACCCTCACTTACATTCCCACTCAGACTTATCCTCGCACTTACTTATCTTAGTATAGATATTAAAGCCGCCATTATTGTCATGTCGGCCAAACCCTTGCCTTCATTAGGGTGTGTTGTCCTGGGTTCGGACACTGGAAGTATGACACAACGGACTGATTCCAAGTGTATATGATGTCAACAACAACTAATTATTATAACTTGAGACAAGAGATAGAAAGAACATGAGTGACATCAACAACAATAGCAACAACAACTCTCAGAGATCAGAATCGAGTCAATGCGTCAAGAACTCGATGCCGAGAATACACAGTATGTTGTTGTTGACGAAACAAAAAAAACAACAACAATAGAGTGATACTAATACAACTACAACGACAAAGGATTGTATATTATTGATCTGTGTTCTATCATGATGACCACAAACAGAGATGTTGAGTTTATTTATTATTAATTGATTTGTTCAACTCTGACAACCTATTGGCTAACCTTCTTTCCTCTTTACGGTGCACCTTCATCTTTCTGTGTCGCCACACGGCAACAAGAACGATGGCACTAACAATGGCAACACACAACACAACTATTCCTGCAATTGCCAATGCCGTCAACTTCTTGCCGGATGATGGACATGTTCTGTCTGTTGCCGAGTCCTTGGCATCAGACGAGTCGATCAGCACGTGGAAGTCGGGATCCATGATGGCATACTTCTCAAACTGCTGCACATTGATGGCGATCAATGTCTGCGCGGTCTGGGACTCTGGCGCCTCCAACAAGTCATTGAGTAGTGTGTTACTCACGACGGCCACACGATCATCGACCATAGCCTTCTGGATGAAGCGTCCAAAAAGACTGAACTTCTGGACCTTGACACGCATCCAATACACACTTGGAGTCTTGCCGTCAGTGAGGCCATACTGGCGAGTGGAACATGCGTTGGGGTCTGATGTGTTGATCAATGCCTGCATGACAACCTGCATCGAGTTGATCTTTGACTTGAAAGTGTAACTGTCCACTGTGATGGTGTACTTGAGAGTGGACTGCGCCATGGACAGGACCTCGCCTGCGAATGACACATTCGCTACAGTATCGAACCATCTGACCGTGACCTTGATTGATCCATTGTCTCCAAATGTTGTGCTGTAGACTGGAGCATTGGGATTGTCGCCAGACATGTTCCATTTGCCAAGATCATGGGAGGCCACAACTTTGCCATTGTTGTCCAGCTCACGCACCTTGATCACATTGATCTCTCCAAAGAGTTTGGTGCCATCTGGATTCTCGTGCTCAAAGGTCGTGGTGGGAGTGGTCGGTGAAATGGTTGGGATGGTGACGACGACCTTAGATTCGCATCTCTCGCCGTACCATTCAGGGGGACATTGACATCCTTGTGTAGGTGAGCAAGTGCCACCGTTGTTACAAGTGTCGGCTTGACAGGGCACCTCGGGGAATGGGGGAAGGGTTGGTGGTACGGTGATCGGGGGTAGATCGACGTTGGTGGAGTTGCCCCAGACAACTTGATTGGATGGAAGGGTGTTGGCCCATACTTGGATGATCATGGCCATGTTGGTGGTGTTCTGATTGAATGGGAACACTAACATTATTCCAGTGTGGAATGTGGTGTTGGGTCTTAGCAAGCTAGCCTGGAGCCCATCGATGGTCGTGTTGAATAGACTCTCAAGCTTGGCTGGATCGGAACCAAAGTTGCGGCCGTAGAGTGTGATGGTGCCATTGCCCAGGCTGACATGCTCGATGATTGGGTGTATGTGATCAAAGGTGATATTGATTGATGGAGTACCGATACCAAGGCCATTGATGTCATGAGTTGAGTATCCTTTGTAGTTCTGGCTGTTGTCGATCAGACCGTAGATGCTGACCAACACTCGACCGTGGAGCGCACCGAATGAGTATGGAAGGTAGCCAGTGGCCTCAAAGAGGTATTCGTTGGGGTAAGTTATGGCGATGAACTTTGCCTGCATGGTGTATATCTCAAAGGCATGGCCAGTCAAATATACATAAGGTAGCTTTGACATGTCGTATCCAGTTCCAAATTCAGTGACCTTGAACTGAATCTTCATTGATCTATCGTATGATCCAACATTGATCGTTGAATTCTGAATGTCCAGGCTGGTCAATGTCGGAGGGGACAAGTCTGGGTTGTCTATTGATTGTGGGGCGGGAGTTAGAACATACTTGTTGACTTAGTGATTGATTGTTTGAGTGGATGTTACATACTTGTTGTAAGTTTGATTGAAAGTTGAAGGAGGTCAGCTCCTTGGATGTAGGCCAAGGGCGAGACGGACATTGACACTGCACCAGTGCCGCGGGTGATTGTGGCAGTGTTCTGGGATGAATCCACAAGTTGCATATCTTGGATGGTGAACGTTTGTGATTTGAAATCATCATTGATATAGAATCCAACAAAGTACTCTCCGATTGTTGCGTTGGAGGTGGGTGATCGATCGGACAACTTGAAGTCCACACGACGAACACTTCCATCGGCACTACTGGAAACGTTGATGTGCCCTCTCTCAAAACCATTCTCCTGGTCCTCGATTACGAGGTTCCATCCAATCATCGTTGATTGAGTGGCAGCCACCCGATAGCTCAAAGAATGTTTGGTAGGGTCGTACTTCTTGACTGGCGTGGGGCGAGTTGGACGGGGTGGCTCTGTTGGGTACAAGAATGTAGTACCAGGGAAGGCCTTGATGCTCTTGATCATTGGTGGCATCTCATCAGCATCTGGAATGAAGTAAGTTTGGTCAATTAATGAGTGTTTGTTTGATTGATTGATGAGTGAGTGAGTGACATACATGTTGAGATGACGTTGACAACAGAGTTGGGGAATCTGGCTTTGAGCATTGCGCCGTCGATGATGGTGACACCCATGATCATGCTTGGGGCGAACTTATGGATTCTTTCGAATCCATTTGTGCTTGGTGCTTGAATCTGGATGTAGTACTCAAGCTCACGTGAGTATGTCCTGGCTGGAACAGTGAACGGCAGCACAAACAGTCCAAGTGTCTCATTGTATCCTCCATTCGATCTATACAGTGGGTTCTCTGCCTCCACACCATAAATGAAACTGATGTTGAAGTTTCGGTTCAACTTTGTCGAGTTGAAGTACATCCTATTGCTCATACTACTGTCGCTCACATTCATTGTGTACGTGTCAAAGTGGACATTGGTCATGTCGTCAAGATCAAACTCCCCTGTGAATGATGTATGAGTATGGGGTAAGTATATGAGCGTGACTTGATTGATAGGAATCATGACTTGATTGACTTGTACTACTTACACATGGATGTTAACGAGCGGATGGTCCTGGAGGTTTGGACAAAATCATCTCCATTGTTGTAGGAGTAGACGTTGCTGGCAAAGTCGTTGGCAGCGTAAATTGAGAACTTGCCATCATCCCAGTTGGCCTTGACAGTGATCAGCTGCTCGTAGAATCCTTGGTGGTAGTCGCCCGACACTATGTTCTGCTTGTCGATGAATATGTAGTCGCCAGTGGACAGGAAGATTGTTATCATGAAGAAGCCACTCATATCATCCTTGATCTCGGTGCGCACATGGTAGGTGGTGTCGTTGATTTTCTGGAAGACGATGCTGAGCACATTGGGTGCGATCTTGTCGGCCAGGTTGTTGTTGCTGTTGTTGAATTGAATGCTGTGATACTTGTTGTTGCCGCATTGGAGTATGACTGCGGGCATAAAGTAGACGGATTGGAGGAAGGTCATGCTCATCGAGACACCCGTCGTATCATTGAATGATGTTGCGCCATAAGGATAGAGCATGTCATCAAAGTTGATACCTTGGCCAAGATCATACATGCATTTTTTGTACCAATCAAGGCCAAAGTCTGTGTTGAACTCGTAGAAGTCTGATTCAACTGGTCCTGGAGTCAACGAGGGAATAAGAATTGGAATGGTATCTATTGTGATTGGTTTGGATCATTCGGGGTTAGGGTCAGGATATGGAATGATGGGAATGATTCCAGGGTGAGTAAAATTATTGAACTTACCGAATCGTGGATCGAAGGAATCGGCTCTGGTACCATTGCCAACAGTCTCATATACGAGGATTTCTTCCAAATTGCCATCGGCCCAGCCAAGAATGAGGGTCTGGGTATTGGTGTCGGGTGATCCCAAGACTGGCTTGACGCTGCTTCTCTCATTTCCAAAATTAGGGTCGTTGTATGGATCGTAGAAGTAGTCAGTGTACTTGGTTGATGTGGCAATGGATACCCAATCCTTCATCATCAACTGAGAGCCAGTATAATTGCCGAGTTGGTAGGTCTGGATGTTCAAACCCTGGGGTTGTGTGTTGTGGAACACTGAGGCCACACCGATGTAGTACTCCGGGTCACTATTCAGTAGTATTGTTACATTGATGCTCGACTCGTAGACAACAGATGGAGGGGCGGTTCCCCAAGAGGCAGATGGGTTCAGTGACACACACAACAGCGAAGATTCATTCGTCAGCCTCTTGTATGGGGCGATACGGCATTGGTAACCTGGCGCAGAGCATTCAAATGTGTTGATCAGAGCAGTCTCCACCTTCATGTTGGTCTCAACATATACACGATAGGCTTCATCACGATGCAAAAACACTGAGTTGAGGACGCCCATCGGAACCGCATGGTACTTGGCCATATCGCGGTAGACGCTAAAGGTTGGGGCAACGGGGGATGTGTCGGGGATGGAATCATTCCAAGATTGATTAGTTAGTTATTGATCATTGATGGATGGTGACTTGACAGACTTACCTTGGCAATTATGGGTCCAGTTCCAAGGGAATGCCACGCCATTAATATCCTCGACCATTCCTTGGTAGAGGAATTCACCAAGTGGTCTTGAATAGAGTACTATAAATGCATATTGTAGACCATTGTAAGAGTATGCTTCCTGACTGGTTGCTACACCACTTGTCTCATTGATCTTCTTCAAAGGTACACTATAATTATACGCCAACACGATCTGAACATTACAACCAGTAATGGTGTTCAATTTCATATTCAGAGAACTCGATGATGTTCTAACTAATATCTGTCCATTGCTCACTACAGTGTTAATTTAATATATTGTTAATATTGATTGATAGGTTGGGACATTGACTTTTTGTTGACCTGGAATGAATCCACTTCCAATCTCAAACAAACACAAATATATCCAGTGGATCTACTTACAATCTCCGAATTGTACAAGTAATACTAATAGTATTAATAGTATAAACGACGTCATGTTATTGATGATCATCTTGTAAATATTTGTAGTATGAATTAATGTATGAATGAATGTTTTAAATGACACGTTTAAGGATTGGACAGTACATGGTGTTAATTATTGGGAACAATAGTATCATGTAGTATTGGTTCGGTCTTGGAGGTGGTTGATAAGGTCATAGCCCGTCCGATCAAGCTCAAAAAGACTAGATACTAATCATAATTATATCTAGATTTTATAACTTGAGGGGGTTTAATGGGTTGGGTGTTTTTAAAGGCAAGTGATGGTCTTCGGTCCCAAAATATCAATTAATTAAACAGTTTTTTAAGATGATGTGTGTTGTCAGTGTTCGAATCGAAGATCGAAAGAGTAGGAATCGTAAGACAGTTACATGATCGGTCCAATACGAGTGTAGTTTCTGACGACTTTGAGTAATTCGTTAAAGTAATCAAAGAAATGTGTAAGTCTGTCTGATCCCATGAAATTTCAACGTCCTTCAATCCCCAGGTCAAAGATTGTAAGGCATTGATTCAAAGTGTAATGCACCTTGAACATGGCAATTCATTCAAGTTCAAAAGGAAGCGGATCCGCATGGTCATTGGAATATTTTAACTATGAAATATAAATAAACAAGAGCCAAAAGACAATCTACTATAATAATTTTGACCTTTGGCTTCTCATCAGTACACTTGGCCGAGTTGGTCTAAGGCGTTAGTTTAAGGCACTAATTTCTTCGGAAGCGTGAGTTCAAATCTCACAGTGTACAAATCTTTTCACTAATTCAAATGAATCGGAAGTTCGTAAAGTGCTCCTGATTCGTCCAATCAAATACTGGCTTCCCTTCAGGACATCCAATAGGAACCGAATAGTCGACAAGGAATCAAGTCAAGTTGGTAGTGTATTATTTATTATAACTCTACAGATGGTGGAATGATGCCAATCAATAAGTTTAAACTTTTGGCTTCAAATAGATATTATAGGAGGCGGTAGTTGGAACACCTTTGTCGTACTGGCCAAAAACAATTGAAGTTTGGACATTAGGGAGAATATCGATATACTTGGTGTTGTCACAGGTCTCGAACACATAAGTCGACAACTTTCCAACAACGTACTTGTAGTTTACCAATAATCTCTCTCCAAGATGGTAAAATATAATGTCTTTGTTGTTCAATCCAATGCTTCCACCTTTCTCAAGTACAGCCGTTTCGGTCCTCTGTACGACATTGGCCTCGATCCTCTCGAGTGTAATTTCATAGGCACCGACGTTACCAGTATCCAGATTGACATGCATCGGTTCAACTTTGCAGATCTTACCCATCATGGAGGGCATTGGTATATAAAATGCAAAGTTAGTTCCAACTAATAGGATGAAGAAAGATAAAATTAATAATAATTTGTTCATAGTTAATAAGTATAACGTTCAATTATTATTATTATTTATATATATATATATGTATTTAAGCTGGGGAAGTAAGTAAAATGATATGAGAGTGAAGTGCAGCTGTAGTGATCTTGAGTAGACACGTGGGGACTCCTTTTTTGGACAACTTGTATCATCAAGTTTTAAGAACTTGAACTTCCTCTTCATTTTTGATTGATTTTCTGAGTTATCAAAAATAATGATTATCTGAATGAGTAGACTCAGATTATTGAAATGACAAAGACTTGTATTTATCATCATTTTATTAATGATTGGACATTGTTCAATGTATTTGAAGTAGTTTTAGATAAATGAATCGATCGACAAAACCAAGATCTTGGTCCAAATCTGATTTTGATTTATTTTTTTGGATGAATGTTTTGATTTGATTCATACTCACACACTAAATCAATCACTGATCTTCTTCTAGACTTTATCATCACCACAATAATAACATTATTTGTTTGTTTGTTTGTTGTACATATACATATATATACTTATACTAAATCATCATCATCATATATATATATATTAAATATCAATCAAAACAATCAAAACAATATACAGACAGGTGACTCAAACAAACAAACAAACAAACAAAAAGAATGTCAACATCACTACAAGAGATAAATGAGAGAGTTGATGTATTGGAATCATTCCCATTCAATGATGATCAATCATTGATTGAGTCATTGCCATCGACTGTTGGCTACGTACCATACAACTCCAACAACTTTATGGACAGAGGCGCATTTGAGACACAGTGGGCCGAGGAGATGTCGGCCATGGAGAAGCTGGAGGAGTTGCTCAAGGCCGGCGAGCAATACATCAATATGGTCTACACGTATCGTTCGTGTAGCAAGGCGTTGCCCCAGGTCAAGAACTCTGAGCAGCCCAACAAACAGCAGATCTACGAGGGATACTATGAGGTACTGGAGCCAGAGATCAAGAAGTTAAAGGACTTTATGTACTTCCAGCGCGACACCATCAAGGTATTCTGCGAGTATGTCAAGAAGATCGCTGCCACCTACGACAAGAAGAAAGAGACTGTCGTCGTGTCCGAAGCCCTCGTCTCCTACCTCATCCGTCTACTCGATCTCTTTGCCCTGCTCGACGCCCTCAAGAACATGAAGGCATGTCTAAACAATGACTTCTCATTCTTCAAGAGGTATGTTCAATCACTTTGTAATCGCTCAAGCGCTTCACATCACTCACTCACTCAATCAATCAATCAATCAATCAAATGAAACAGATCATCAGGATTCTTGAGGAAACAGATGACAGGCGCAGAGGATCAAACACAGGAGAATCAAACGTTGTACTTCTTCTTGGCACATCAGAACTCGATCACAACAGCTTTGAAGCAGGAGTTGCACAACTTTGAGAAGTTGAAACAGGAGCCAGGCAATGAGAAGTTGAAGCAGGAGTTGCATAATATTGACGAGGTGTTGTCGGTGATTGTCAATCAGTGCGCCGACTACTTGGAGAAGGAGAAGTACATCCTCCCCACCGAGAAGCACTGTCTGATGCGTGTGATGCCCTACGTGCTCTTCCTTATCGACGAGAATGACAACAAGCACAACATCTTCAAGAACAAGTCGCTCAACCTGTCGGCCTACGCCAAGATCTTCCGCAAGAACCCCGTGGTGCCACTGTACGGTGACATGCAGATCACGCTGGAGGCGCTGGTCAAGCGCTCGCCACACTTTGACGAGAAGGCCTGGGGCACGTCGTCGATGGACTCCAAGGTGGCACTCGACTATGAGATCATTCACACGATCGAACAGACCAAGCAGCTGTACATCGACTACACGGCCCGCTTTGCCAACATGATCAACGACATTAAGGCGTCACGACAGCGCAAGGAGCCGCTGCCCTTCCCCGAGGGCGACATCAAGGAGATCGTGCTGCATGGCCTGCGCATCCTGTCCGAGTGGTCGTCGCACGTATTGCAGCAGTCGGCCTGGAAGTACTCCAAGCCCAACAACGACCAGAAGATCCAGGCACAGTTTGACTATGAGCGCGTCGTCAAGTACAACTACACACCAGAGGAGCGCGTTGCCCTCATCCAGATGATCGCCATGATCAAGGGACTGGGCTCGCTGATCTCCAAGTACGAGTCGCTGCTCGAGCCATACATTAAGCGCACGATCCACGCTGAGCTGCAGGAGTTCATCCAGGTGCAGCTGCGCGAGACCATCAAGTCGTTCGCCAAGAAGAAGGAGCACATCAAGATCGAGCTGAACCAGCTCAAGAACCTGGCCGCTGACTGGCTGGGCGGTGCCGAGCCCCAAGAGTCAACCAGCTCCAAGAAGAAGACCGACGAGAAGGTGCAGTATCCCTCGCGTCCCGTCCCACCCTCCACCACACAGCTCGACCTCATCCTGACGATCGTCTCGTCGTTGATGTCCAAGAAGAAGGAGTTCAGCAGCACTCAGTTCTCTGAGCTCGAAACCCTGCACAGGTCGGCCTACTTCTACCGCTACCTCGTCAACCTGAGCCACACGATCAATCACATCACCGACTTGGCCGACCTCTGGTACCGTGAGTTCTACCTGGAGCTCAACAACCGTGTGCAGTTCCCCATCGAGTCGTCGCTGCCCTGGATCCTCACCGATCACATCCTCGAGTCGGACGACCCCTCGCTCATCGAGTACATCTTCTACCCACTGGGTCTCTACAACGACATCTCGCACCGCGCTCTCCAGTCGCTCAACCAGCGCTTCCTCTACGACGAGATTGAGGCCGAGCTCAACCTGTGCTTTGATCAGCTGCTCTACAAGCTCAGTGGCAAGATCTATGCGCACTTTAAGCAGCAGGCCAGCAGCATCTTGTTGGACAAGAGCTATAAGGAGCAGTTGGAGATCGCCCAATTCCAGGGCAAGCTCAACATCCCCAAGTCCCGTTTCGATGTTCTCCTGCGTCAGAAGCACATCTCATTGCTTGGCCGCTCGATCGACCTGTCTGGCCTGCTGGCTCAGCGTCAGAACAACTACCTGCGACAGAACATCGACTATGCCATCTCAAGATACGAGGCATCTGATTTGACGTCGATCGTCGAGCTCGAGACACAGCTGATCAACATCCGTCTGACCTACCGTCTGCTGTCTCAGTTCCTCACGCTGGACCCACTCGAGTCAATCATGAACGAGGTGAATGACTCCACATCGCTGGTCTCTTACCATGGCCGTATCGCTCTGCACACAATCTTTGAGCTGATGAGCGACTTTGGACCAAACTACACCTTTAACTCGATCACGCAGCGCTTTGTCAAGGCGCCCTACTTATTCACCGACGAGATCACTCGTGAGTCGATGCCCAAGTCCAACCCGTTGTTCTTGTTTGGCAACAAGCACTTCAACGCAGCGTACGGCAATGCCGCCGAGCTCCACAAGCACTTCTTTGGACTGCCACACGTACACTCGCTGATCAACACAGTTGGCCGCAAGAACCTGCCCCTGATCGTTGGCGAGTGTCTCCGTAACATTGAGATCAAGATCTCCAACGTGTTGACACCATACTGTCGCGAGCTCATCCAGAGTGGTATGCCCGCCAGCCAGAAGCTGCCCATCTACGACTACGGTACCGAGGGTGGTTACGGATACTTCCAACTGAAGCTCAAGGACATCTACACCTATCCCGATCTTCGTCCCGAGGTCGTCCAGTGTTTCAGAGAGCTCGGAAACATCATCGTGTTTATGAACCTCTTGGACCAGGCCCTGGTGCAGAAGGATGCATTCAACTTTGTCAAGGCCGCTCCATTCCTTGGCTACACACCCGAGTCATGGTACTCGGACCAAGGCGAGGATCCAACTTTGGAGTCACCTCTGTACTCACAGCTGCAAAAGATGGCCAAGATCATCGAAGAGAAGCCAGACGTCACCAAGGTGCCAGAGTACTTCAATGAGATTGTCGCCAACGCATGGCGTGCAGACAAGTTCTACAGACCAAGTGGCAACCACACATCGCTGTTCAAGTCAGTGTTGCAGAGCATCTCGCAGATACTCAACACTGTGCGTGTTGAATGGTCGGGCACAACACCAGAGAATGGAGTTATCAACGTTGACTCCTCCACCGAGTTCTACCGTCTGTGGAGTGCACTTCAGTTTGTCACCTGTTGGCCACTGACCAACGAGAACGACAAGTCCTACCAGGAGCTGTTTGGTGATGGCTACATTTGGGCAGGATGCACAATCATTCATTTCTTGGGCCAACAGTACCGTTTCGAGTTGTTTGACTTCTGTTATCACATTCTCAACGTGGAAGAGGCAGCAGCAGTCAGGAGTGACAAGCCAGCTCTCAAGAACTTCTTCAAGACAGCTCAATTCGTTAAGGACATGAACCAACAGATATTCTCGATCCTGAACACTTACTGTCCACCACCAGCACCATCCAACATGGTCCTGTCACCACCAGCCACCGAGCAGGCCGAGCAGTTCATCATCACCACGACCGAAGAGGTGTCATCGGCTCCATTGTCCCACAGCATCAGTAACAATAACCTGTCATCTGGCTTCCCTCCACCTCCTCCACCAGGCGCACTCAACAACTTCCCTCCACCTCCTCCACCAATGATTGATGACATGCCTCCACCTCCACCCTTGGGCATGCCACCCCCTCCACCTCCAATGTAAATCAACAACGACAAACAATAGTTTATAAGCATAAGCCGCTGGCAATAGCAGCTGGTTGCAACCAATAGCAAAAGCACAGTACTATAATACAATATAAATATCTACTTCTAACAGATCAGTTGTCTGTCAATCTTATTATTACTAATACATTCATTCATTCATGATATGATGGGGTCTATCTATATTTTGAGTGTCTGCTTGATCATCTTCTTCTCATCCTCATAGAACTCATCAATGACCATCTGATAGTTCTGCTTGTCGGTGACGTTTGGATACATCAGGATCGCTGTTTGAATCTTTGGTTCACCATCTTTGGTTGTTTAGGACGAGGCGTTAGTGTTAGAGACACCACATGACGACCGATAATCAAACACTTACAATGCTGGATTTGAACAAGCTTCTTGACATTCTCAGAGGTGAATGTGAATGAATTGGCAATGGTCTTAACCAGTCTCAGTCTATCTCTGTCCAAGACAACTCCCTTGAGTTGTTCTTCAAAGTTCTTGATGTCTTTCTGTGTGATCAGATCCTACATTATGATAGAGAAGTATGTTAGAGGGTCTCCTAACTATTATTGATATGTTGATAGCGTAGATTACCATTATGATGTTTCTATATATTTGAGTATTGTTGATGAATGAATGGTTGATTGGATTGTGAACTTGATCGCATCAGTTAGACCTTTCAGCAAAACTTGATGGGTCGACCCACCTATTTCCAAATCAGGATCTTGTGCCATTATTAATTGTAAAGACGTATATATATATTTATTTGTTACTGGAATCAATCGAAGAGACTATCGACGTTGGTCTTCTTTGCTTTGGCAGATGCCTTGGCCTTGGTGGCAGCTGGCTTGGTCGTTGTAATGTCATCGAACAAGTCATCTGCGGCGGCGGCAGCAGCGGCTGGTTTCTTGGCAGCCTTCTTGGCGGGGGCAGTCTTTGGTTTAGCATCGATATCGTCAAACAATGAATCGGCAGACTTATCGTCCTTGGTTGCGGCGGCCTTCTTGGCCGAAGACTTGGTTGCAGCGGTCTTGGGCTTGGCTGTGGCGGTGACTGGAGGCAGGTCATCGAATATAGAGTCGGGTGAAGTGGCAGTGGTTGATTTTACAGTGTCTTTGGTTGTGGCCGATTTGGCGGCAGTTGATTTGGTTGTTGTTGTTGTCGATGCTGGTGGGATGCCCAATGGGTCAGAGTCAATGACAGGCTCCTTCTTCTTTGCCGTGCCATTTGTGCTGGACGATGGAATACCCAGAACAGAGTCTGAGGATGATGATGATGATGTAGTTGGAACTTGGTCAAAGATTGATGGTTCCTTGTGGTCCGATTCACTGCTCTCGGTGTTGGCGCTCAGTCTCTGAGCAGCACCTCCCTTTCTTGTTGGTGGTCTTCTTCCTGCGTTCTTTGGTCTGGACTTTGTTGTATGGGTCAACTTGGCGGTCTCATGATCGTCATCGTCGTCGTCGGTTGTGGTGGCAGCTGGTTTTGGTCTGCTAACGCTTCTGGGAATGGATGGTGCACCATTCTCCTTTCCACTCTCATCAGTGTCGCTCTTGCTGTCCTGGGTCGTCGACTCCTCATCCTCTGACTCTTGCTTCTTCTTCTTTGGCATTTGAGCACCTGGTGCCATCCTTGATGGGTCCAATGCCAGCACTCCCAACAGAGCGCCAATCTTTCCACTTGGTGCCTTCTTGGCAGCGTCAGACTTTGCTGATGATGCCTTTGGAATTGACAGTGGATCAACGTCGCCAAACAATCCTCCTGAGGTCTTTGGTTGAGCAGCGTCCTTGGCCTTTGGAATGCTCAAAGAGAAGCTAGAGTCGTCAAACAAGGATGATGACTTCTTTGGCTCCTCCTTGACTGGGGCGGCAGCAGACTTCTCAACGGCAGCAGGCTTCTTTACGTCCTCCTTCTTCTCAGCGGCGGGTGAGACTGCTGGTGCATCAAAGATATCATCCTTGTTGGCCTTCTTGGTTGGCTTCTCCTCAAAGTCATTGAGGAAGTCCTTACCAGTCTTGGTTGGCACTGCGGCTGGCTTGGAGTCACCAAACAGAGAGTCCGATTTGGCTGCTGCAGTTGGCTTAAAGTCGTCGAGGCCACCAAAGAAGTCCTTGGGCTTAGCGGCGGGTGTTGGATTCAATGGGTCGTCCGATAGGGCAGCAGCGACAGCAGATGGTTTCTTTTCCTGAGTCTTTGGCTTGATGGAGATTGAACCAAAGAGATTGTCAGAATCGTCGCCACCCAGTGGTGATGAGACGGCTGGCTTGGCTGTGGTTGTGGCTCCCAGAATATCGCTGTCTCCAAAGAAATCCTTCTTGGCAGCTGGAGCAGCAGCGGCTGGTGCTGCCTTTTTGTTTGATGAGCCCAGTCCGGAGAACAATGAATCGGGATCGCTAGACTTGTTTGAAAGGGGACTGTCGTCAACATCATCAAAGAAGCTAGACTTGGTTGGCTTCTGTGCAGGTGGGGGTGCCTTGGTCTCGGTCTTGGCAGGGGCTGGAGCGGCGGCTGGAATCTCCAGTGCGCCGAGTGGTGAGTCGACGCTGGCAGGCTTTGGTGGGGCAGCCTCCTCTTTCTTTGGTGGCACCTCAGCCTCCTGCTTCTTGGGGATGGAGGCAAGAGGATCATTGTTGTCGTCGTCAAAGAAGCTGGATTTCTTGGATGGTGTTGATTCCTTTGGCTTGGTATCTGCCTTCTTTGCTGCTCCGAGCAGGTCATCATCGTCGCCGATTGAAGAGAAGAAGTCATTCTTCTTGGAGGGCGTTGACACTGCTGGCTCTTTCTTCTCTGCGGGCTTGGCAGATTGAGCCAGGCCCAGAATGTCACCAGAGTCATCAAAGGACTTTGGTGTGTGCTTCTTCACTGGCAACACTGGCTTGTCCATCAGGTCACCATCAATGCCCAAGATATCAGAGGTCAGGTCCTTCTTCTTTGCTGGTGCCTCAGTCTTCTTGATGCCACCAAATAGTCCTCCCTCATCGTCTGTGGACGATGTCTCCTTTGGCTTGGACTCGGATGGAGTCTTCTTCTTTGCTGCTGCGAGCAGATCATCTCCGTCACCAAAGTCAAAGAGCTTCACACCACCAACAGGCTTCTTGGCCTTTGGTGCCTCTGCTTGCTCGCTGTCACTGGTTGGGACGGGGGCGGAGGCAGCAGGTGCCTTGGCTGGGGCCTCGACAGTTGGGAGGTCGCCATCGTCCAACAGTGAGCTGGACGTTGGCTTGGCAGCGGGTGCTGGCTTGGACTTTGGCTTTGGTGCAAACAGATCATCATCGTCGTCATCCAGGAAGCTGATGGACTTCTTTGGTGCAGCGGATGAGCTGTCCTTCTTTGGCGCGGGCTCATCAAGGTCATCAGAGAACAGGTCGCCGAATGACTTCCTGCCAGTTGAAGTGGATGTTGTAGTGGATGTTGTAGATGACTTCTTGGGTGCAGGGGCATCATCAAACAGATCGTCTCCAAAGGATACACCCTTTTTGCTGCTGCTGCTTGATGTCTTGGGCTCAGAGGGGGCCGCTGGTGAGTCGCCAAACAGATCATCATCAAACATTGACTTGGGCTTGGTAGTGGTAGCTGATGGCTTGATGGTGGGAGAGTCACTGACGCCGCCAAACAGCGAGTCTTCACCGAGTGGGTTGCTGCTGGGCTTCTTGGCGCCACCGAGTGCGGCCGAGAGCTCGTCCTTGAATGGATCAACCTTCTTCTCCGACTCCTTTGGTGCTGCTGGCTTCTCGCCAAACAGATCACTGCTGTCGTCGTCTCCAAGAATATCAGACAAAGTCGATGTGAATGATGACTTAGGCTTTGTAGATGTCGAGCTCGATGGTTTATCTGATGGGAATATATCATCATCGAAAAGACTAGATGTGTCCTCCTTCTCCTGCTATGTTTGAGTGAGCGAGTGAATGTTAGTGAATGATTGTTGTAGTTGTAGTTGAAGTAATATATACCTTTGTGTTTGATGATGAAGGGTTGTCGTCATCCTGGAACAAGCTCTTGCCACCCTGAGAGTCTGATTGAAGGAATGATGTTGATTGATCTACACTCATTAGAACTGGTGGACGTGATTGATCTGGCTCCAAGAGTACAGTGTTGCTAGTGCCATCTGGGTTGTTCTCCAGCTCATTTGGTGGCAATACCATGCCATCATCCTCATCCGAAGATGACTCTGAGTCGCTTCCATCCTCCTCGCTTGACTCTGTATCTGACTCTGTTGTTATGTGATTCGGGAGTATTGATGTGTTAGATGATGTCAAAGCAATACCAATCAATCAATCAAATAAATGATCATCAACATACCTTCGATGAACAATCCACAATAGTCATCATCCTTGAATTGTTGTGAACCAATGATGTGTGGCAGTGGATATCTGAGATAGTGCTCGAGCTTCTCCACTTTCTTCTGTTGCTGATCTTCGCCTTCGACTGGACGCTCACCACCCTCTGCCAACAGAGCGTCAATGTTTGAAGCATCGACAATGTTGGATGGACTGGTTGATGGAGTAGCCTCTGAGCTCTCCAGTGCCGAGTTTATAAGGTTTGCCTTCTCGAGAGCAGCCAATCCCAATGCGACAGCCGTTGTGAACTTTGGTATCAGTATCTCCTCTGTTATCTCTGGCTTTACCTCTGTGGCCGATGAAGCAACCTCTGTTCCCTCTTTGTTGTCGACCTCTGAGTTGTCCTCATACACTCTCTAAAATGATGATGGTGATCGAGATTGTAAGATACAGATCACTGATGATGTACGTTGATGATGACGACACTTACGTTCTCAATAAACTGTGAATGAGACAACATTAGGAACTGATCGAATGTGTTGTGTACTTTGACATGGGTGGACTTGACGTCGTGTACGAGCGAGTCGACATGACCCTCCAACTCCTTTGTCTGACTGATCAAACGATTGGCAAAGTCCTGCATGTAGTTGAGTAGACCTGCATCAGATGCCAAAGTCCATGTTTTCGACGCATCACGCATCTCTGGCAGTGACCAAGCACGCTTCCACGACTCCTCACCTGGTTGTACAGGTGCTGGTGCCGCTGCAGCCGGTTGTTGCTGCTGATCATCACTCATTATGCTGTTTTTAAAACTGCTACTGCTGTTGCTGTTGCTGTTGCTGTATAGTTTGTTTGTTTATATAGAGATAGTGTAGATATAGATATATAATGTGTTTTACTATTAATACAATGAAGATCAACTACAGCATACAATCAATCAATCAAATATATTGTATGTATATCTGTATATATCTATATATATTTGTAAATATAATATAAGGGGGTAGAGTACACTTTGTGTTGTTGGACTGTCTCTCTTCTGTCTTTGCCAACTTGCTTGCTCCTCAAACACAATATCTAGTATTTCTGTTGATTTTTTATCATTTTAATTTTTCCACTGAAGCTTCGTGTTGAGTGTCCTCAAACCATGTGCTCAAATCTCAGAGACAATGCGATTCAGTTTCTCGATGCACATGTGTTTGTAGTTGACCACATCCAAGAACAAAAACACACCAAGAACAACAACACTTATGCATTAACATTGAGGATAGAGATAAGGACAAAATGTATGATTATTTATATGTGTATTGTTTCTATGTACAGTGTAGTTCCAACAACGTCATGATGGAGAAGGAACGCGGTTACCTTGGAAGCAGTTACAACCTTAACAACTTCTCGGTGATGTTGTCCTCTTGGACTTCGGATAGACCACAACCTTGAACCTCGGCCTTGATTCCTACTAGTGCCTTCCTGATGGCGTCTCTTGAAGCGGCGTGTATCATCTTGTTCCTGGTGGATGCTTTGCTTGGACACCATGAGACAAATACTAGATTCTTCTTCTTTAGCAATGAGTTGTCGGTGTAGGCAAAATCGACCAATACATATCTACATTGATCAGTTGGCAACTCCTCGAGGAATGTTGAGAATGGTACATCAGTTGGGAATGTCTTCTCTACAACAATCTCTGTTGACTTTTCATTCATCTTGTAAAACACAAGTCCATGCTGTTTACGCATCTTCATCTGGTCGAACACCTCGATACAGTTGCTTGCTAATTTGACTCCGGATGACTGTGGAAAGGTCACCAACATGTTAATGATTGATTGGGTTGGCGGGGATCAAAGTACATACCATGTTTAGGATATATTGTTTAAAGTAGTAAGGTATTTTTAAAATAATTAATTAATTGATAGATAATTAAACTTATGATATTGTAGTAGTTGATTGTTATTGTTGATTTGATGACTTTACATTATGAGATGGTATTGGTATTTATAACATTGGACAGGGACTGGAAACAATCATTTTCGTCTTGAAGAGAGTTTGAAAATGGAAGTCATATGAATGATGGGTGTGGGTTCCCATCCAAAATCCTTGAATTTTAGTGATCGGATACCAGTGCACTGGATCGATCTGAAATTGACTTATCAATCATTGACTAGCCGATCCTTCCAAAGTAATAATTGTTGAATTCTCGTCGTGAAGTGAAAGTTGATTGAGCTGACTGGTAAGATCATTCTTGTTGTTGGAGTTATTATTATTTGAATGTGAATGTTGTATATGTTGATGATCAGTGATCATTAGGTATGTGAATATTGGATCGTGAGTTGATACCTTTAGTGGCTCAAGCTTATTATCCAGGCCAAATTTGTGTACTGGTGATTGACGATCGTTGTTGAAATAGTCCTCATGGCGTATTGGAATTCGTTGTGAATGATTACATTGTATCTTATAAGGTGTATCCTTATTTTGTAATAGTACAATATAATCGATTTGATTGGATAGTGGTGTCTTGATATCATAGTCCTCGTCCAATCTCTGTGTCACTGCGATTGACAATGAGAAGTTGTATCTTTCGAAACAGATATCGTCCAGAGTTTCAAAGTAGGCTCCCACATTGCAGGCAATGTCATAGTTAAAGTCACCGCCAATTAACACTGGCAGTTTGTAGGTGGTCTGCATGTAGTTGGCAAGCAAGAAGAAGTCCAGTAGAAAGTGCTGTTTACCTTCATCCTTGCATCCATTATATATCGAATGGAGATTGATAGCAATGAACTCTGCTGGTGTTGAGTGGTCGCCTCTATGCTCTTCATGATCCTGCCAGTGGTCATTGAGCACTTGGAATCGTACGATTTGTAAACGGGATGGTCCACGCGTGGCAAACAGACTTTTGTTGACAAAGACATCAGCTTTGTGTAGATCATTGACCAGTTCATGACTGTCATAGACGGTTGTTATACGTAGACGTTGTTTGTTGTAGATGATGGCCACCTCCATATTGCTGCGACCAGAGTACTCGATACTGTAGGTGGCCAGTCTGGACGATGGGAACTGTTTGACATAGTCAGAGGGCACTTTGGAACTGATCTCTTGCAACATTATCAAGTCGACATGATGTCTGCGCACCAGGTCACCAATGAGCAGTTGTCTATACTTTGCATAGTGTCTAGCTGTCTCACCCTTTGGATTCCAAACCAACAGACGCAACATATAATCATATCTATATTGAAACCTATGTAAATGATCCTTCAGAGGACTTAATTCCCTCAATTCATTCCTCTCATCATCCGTCAACTTTATATCCTTTTGTTCATTATAATTGATATCATCATAACTCTCATCATTCCATATTGTCTGATACATATATATATATTTATTATTATGATTATTGAAACCTTATTTTACACTTAAGTATAAACACCATTATCTCTTCATTCTTTGTTCGCAAGAATGCAACCCCTTTGCAAAGGGGTTGCATTAGCTATTCCTGAAATTTACTTAAGTTATGGTTGTCTACACTAAACGGGCTACGACCTTTACATCAATCAAGTGGAGAACAACAACATTGTTACATACATGATGATGATAAAGACATAGATACATATATATAATATATATAATTACAATAGTAATAATAATGGCACCTACAACTTGGAAACAATTAAAGAACAAGTTTGATAGATTACTTATAGTGGATAATGAACACTTTGAGATAGTACCACTGGAATCAAATGATCAACTGTCAGACAGTTGTATGGCCCCACTTCCAATGAAGATAGACTCTATGGGTTCTTCAATAGTATACACCGATAGAGTACTTTATGTGTTTGGTGGCACCGATACACCTACTGGCGTCAAAGTGTTATACTTTGATTCAGAATATCATTTGTTTGTTAGGGAGGGCGTCAAGTGCACTCTCAAACATCCAAGAGTGAATGCCACAGTATCACTGTCACCAGATCACAGATATGCCTACCTGGTTGGAGGTGATCTCTCGCCACAGGCTGTGGAGCGTGTAGATCTGACTACCATGGACGTCACTCAGTGTGCCTCGATGAACACTCCACGAATCAAACATGCCGCTACCTTGCTTAACGATGAAGGATACAACACAATCGCAGTGCTTGGTGGCATTGACCCAACAACCAACACGGTACTCGACACAATGGAGCTTTATGACACACTCTTTGACGTTTGGCATATATCTGATCATCACCTGGCCAAGCCTATGCACTCGATGTATGTGAGCTTTGTTCGGCCAGAAGCTCCCATATGTTTGGTAATAGGAGGCGTTGGAAGCAATGGACGATTCATCAAAGAGATACAAAAGATACACACTGAAGAGAGACCTGATGAGAAGGCCACACTGCCAGGTCCATTGGTATGGTACTCATCGGCATGTCACTCTGAGAACCTCTTCTATCTGACTGGTGGTCGACACATGGGCGCGGATCAAGCCACAACCACAATGATCAAGGTCAACTCCCGAACCAACCTATGCATCCCATCACCAATCAARGCTGCAAAAGGCCAGGACACAGAAGCACTTCAGTGTAGTCATGAAGAAGAAGTGAGCATACTTAAACTTATTACTATTATGTATATTTATTAGAGCTTGCATGCATGCCTTTGTACCTCTATCATCGATTGCAACACAGCAGGTAGGGTAAAGAATGATTAGACGCCTAATCTACCTGTCTATTGCTACAACCGAGTGGCAACATCAGTGGCGGAGTGCAGCGGCAACAACAACTAGGAATGTCGACACATATAACAATCTAGATAATGATCAATCATCATCGGAATCCAATAAATGGTCGTCATTGTCATCGTCATCGTCTTCATCAGAGTCATCGTCATTCTTCTTCTTCTTGGCCAATGATGATTTGCCAGTTGGCATGCGATGTTCATGGGCGTCATCGTCGTCACCCTCTGGAATCATCGACTCCATCGCCTCGCAAAAGTCCTCCCAGCTCTCCATTGCCTCGCGGTAATAGTCCGCCTGCATACCAGCGTACTCCTTGATCATCCTACGCAGATCACTCTGCAGTCTAGTCTTGTTTGACTTCATAGACTCTGCAAACTCCTTGGACATTGTCGAGTAGTTCAACTTGCTCTCCTCCTCCTCCTTCTTTGCGCCAACAGTCTTTGATGACATTGGATCATTCTTCTTCCTTGTCTCATGCAAGGTGCTCTGTGACTGTTCATACCTAATCCTCAATACATTTTGTTTCTATAAATGGCCGGCCATGGATGGATAAGTTAGTTGATGCTCTTGGATGCGCGTTATGATGATGTACATACCCTTTTCAACTCTCTGGTCTTCTTGAGATCCTCACGGAAGAATTGATACAATGGTTCAACGAAGCCTCCATATCCATTGGTGACCTCTTCGAGTCTATTCTCCTCGAATCCCATAATCTGTTCGCCCAACTCCCTGAGGGCCTTGCCCTCAACAGTTGTCTTTAAAGCACCTTCACCAAATTCCTTGACCATCTCTCCAAACAACATACCAGACATCTCCTCTATAGATTGATCGGTGCCAGATAAGTTAGTATCACCCTTGATTGATTGAATGATTGAATGACTACATACTTAAAGATGCATCGATGATTGGCTTTCCAGTCTTCTCAACACTTCTAAAATCCTTCTTGAGTAGGTGAAGGAACTGCTTGTGATCGACGATATCGTTGGTGTCTAGGTTGGACTCCTTGTGACGTAGTTTCTCAAGGTACTTCTGAGTGGACACGGACACTGTGACCGACATTCTCTTGATCTTTGACTTACTGTTGGGTGAGGTCTCGGAAGATGAATGTCCAGCTTGTGATCCATTGTGTTGTGGCGTGTTGCCCATGGATGTGTTGGTGATTGACTTTTGCGCTCGATATGGTCTGGTATGGCTTGTGGATGAAGTGGATGAGGTTGAAGTGGTGGATGTTGTTGCGCCAGTGCCTGCAGCACCAGATGAAATAGGTGGTAAACTACGTGGTCTTGACAATGAAGTATGTCTATAATGATTGGCTTGGTACACTATTGTCTTTCCATTCTTCTTATACACCTTTCCATCATATGACACTCCCTTTGCAGAGTTCATTGATTGTGTAAGTTCCTTTGTTTCCACCATCTTCCACAATAATATAAATTATAAATAATTTGATTGATTGATTGTAATGTTACAAGTTGGAAATTATTATTATTATTAATTGGTTATTGTAATTAAAGGATTAGGATTATAAATGTTTAATGGAGGCAATTGGGAAAAGGGTTGTTTGATGAATTGAAATGGCAATGATTGATCGATGGCTATTGCAATGAGTGAGAGGGAAATAAGGGTACCGATTTAAAACAGGGTAGGGTCTATGTTGGTGGTTGATGGTGATCACACAATCTTGAGTAGTTGAGGATGGTTGGTTGGAAAAGGTGTTGTTGTTGTTGTTGTGGTAGTTGTAACAAACACACACAAAATTATAATTGTATACACAAACAGATAGGAGTGAAGTTTATATATCTGTATTTCTTTTGTTGTTGGATGATTAGATTGATCAATTCAACCAAGAGCTATAATTCACACAACAACAATACCTTGTATATTATATTTATTGAATGTTGGTCAACATTTAGAAGCTATATTATTATAATTATTGGATTGGACGGACGTGTGAACCAAATCACACACAGTTGAATCATTCAGATAACTGCGTGATAAAAAAACAATGTGTTTGTGTGTGTTTGTTGTTGTGATTGACTGATGCACTGTGTTCTAATGCTATTGTTTTGGAAGGGTCATCATTGTCAAACAAACAAACAGGAAAGGAAGACCTTCCAACCATCTATCCATCCATATCACCCTAGGGTGATGTTAAAGTGTTGTGTTTGAGGTAGAGTGTTATGTTGTTGATGTTATGTTTGCAACATTAGTGATGGGGCATGAATCCTTTGCCGACCCAGGACACGACCAAACCAAAGATCGGACACTGGTTGACCATCCATGTGAAGAAATTCACAGAATGAGTAGTGTCTCAAGTCTGGTAAATCTGAGTTCATTGTTGTCGTCAACCATGGTTGTAATATATAGATGATAGGGGTTTTATTTAGATATGTAATAGGTTGGGAGATGTTGGTAGGCTGGCCTTGACTGTACATGAGTGTTTGTTTGTTTGTGTTGTTGTTGATAAGGATAACAAGCAGAGATAGATAAGTAGCTGATTAGTACAGCGGTTGCTGAGCTGGCTCGGATCATACTGCTTAGTAAATGGGGATGGGATGGACGGCAGAGAATGGTACCAAAAGGGGAGTGAGGGAGTTGTGATGGGGGGAAGGCCAGCGTCATCGATCGACATCACTGCGCTGTAAAGTGCTGAACTGTTATTGCTGTTGGATTAGCAGTCGTCGGATCCAAAGGTGTTCTCACCACTGTAGGTAATGTACAGGAATCCATCCTCGTCCTTGTAGCGGTCGTAGATCTGTGAGATAAGAGCAGCGGTTGGTGGGAGAGTATTGTTGACAAACAAGTAGATAGCCTTCTCAGCGTTGATCTTTGGCATATGCTTTCTGATCTCATAGACAAACTTTCCAACTGTGATATCTGCTGGAACTAGGTATCTAAAGATTGATTGATGGTTGATTGGTTGGTGGTCAATATCGAGTATTGTCTCAAGGGTACTACTACAACATACTTCTTCTTATCGATATCTGGGGCATCAGATCTTGGAGCCTTCTCGACGATGACTGGGATTCTGTCTTGGTACTTTGATCTAATTCTCTCGGCAACCTCCTTTCTCTTCTCTGTTGTTGTGTTGAGTTAACGTGATGAAGTGTTAAGAGTTAGTGATCATCATCAATTGAAACTCAAAGTACATCTTTAGGTTGTTGAATACATACCAAAAGGATGATCGTGCTTGAAGCTTGATGAGTTGGTCATGTTTGATTTATATATGTATTATATTATATAGAGGGTATTATATACAACAAGTATGATTGATTGATTGATTGATTGATTAGTGACAAGAATATATGTACAACAACAACAAGGTAATAAATATATGTAGTAAGCTAGATTAATAAATGGTAGATAGGTAGGTAGGAATTAGACACAACAAGTACAATATGTGTTATTTATATGTATTTGTATGTATATATATATGTGTATGTTTAATGGAGAGATGTGAGTGAATTGAAATTGAAGGTGAGATGAGCTCGATGATGTAGTTGTTGTTTGTGGTGAGTGAGCAAGTGAGTGGGGTCAATGTGTAAGTGTGTATGTATTGGTGTGTGTGAATGAGTGTAGGATTAGACGCAGTGACTGGTACTCATAATGTTGGGAAAGAATAGAGGTCGTGGGGTATGTGCGTGCGTGGTGTAGGTTGTTTGTTTGTTTGTTCTTCATCACTCAACATAATCAACACCATCTTGTATCTCTCTCAATAATTATTTGTTTTATTAATTTAATTAAAATCATTCCTGGGGGTGTGAGAAGGGAAACAATTTAACGAACTTCATCCAACACAACTTGACATCAATCAAGCCTGGTGAACAAAATGGATGGTTGACAACTTTGTTCCAGAGATATTCATCGAACACTTCAAGAATAATAATGATGATGATGATAAATATATATTTATAAATATTGTGTAATACACAACTTGATTGTGCGAGTTTACGACTCTGACTTAGAATAGGAAAACAGTTCTTTTGATTGCCTCTCTTCGCCATCCTGGTATCTTCTCCCATTCTTTGCGAGTCGTGTTGAAGATCTTTTCAAACTCGTCGTCTGGAAGATAGATTTCTAGACGCGTGGCATCGACACCCGCTGGAAGGGGATCGACCAACAGCTCATCGTAGTGATACACCTCCTTGAGATAGTCCTTGAGCACGTTCTCGACGGGCACACCATCCTTCTCGTTGACGGGCAGCTTGTTCTTGGGATACTTGGCCGTGGTCCAACCGCGGAAGTAAGACTTGAAGGCGAGCGGCTCTTCGAATGGCTCGACCAACAGGATCGAGGTGCTGTCGCTCGAGTGTCCAAGCTTTGACTGCTTGCAAAAGGCAATCACGGCCTCCATCGACACCTTCTTGGTCTTGTGTGTGGAGCGTGGTCCGAGCCAGAGGTAGATGTGGCTCTGCACGTCGAGTATGACCACATTGCCAATCTCCAGGTCGTCCTGCGAGAAGACAGCTTCCTCGTTGATCTCATGGATTCCAGATGCGTTCGAACAGACAAAGAGTCGTGGTTTGTATGCAGCGTTGAGCTTGATTCCATTGAACAATTTGTCGTTGAAGTACTTGGTACGGTTCTCCAATGTTGATGTGGCCGGGATGTTCTCCCAGAATGCATCGGGCTCATCACCCTCGAGCACCGTGATGATCATCTCCTCGCTGGAGAGAGTCTGAGCGATGGCCAGTGCTGTGCTGTGTTCCACGTCGTTCGAGTGTCTTCCCTTCCAAATGTACATGGTCTTGTCTGAGGGTACACGCAACAACAAACAGTGTTGGCTGTTGAGCGAGCTGACTGCGAGGTCCACCTGCACGGCGCGAGTGTCCATTTGATCGCGACCTCTGATCTCGTAGAGGCCTGTCTTGCCAGTGTCGTGCTGCAGGTATTTGCCCTTGTGAACGATCATCTTGTTCTTGAAGAGGTTCATAAAGTTTCTGGACTCCTTGTTCTGGACGACACGTGTTTGAACACAGTTGCCGCCAAGCTGGTCGTGCAGGTCCACAGTGAGGTAGGCCGACGTACCCTTATCGTTGACAGAGCTGTCGCGACCCAGGTAGTAGTAGATGACGTAGGCCTCCTTGTTGTGGAGCATGTAGGTGTACAGAACGATGTAGCTGTCGCCCGAGAAGAATTGGCCATACAAGTGGGTGGGATGCTCAATTTTCTCGTAGTCGTGGATCTTCCAGATGTTGACCTTGCCGACGTCCATGTTGGTGAATATCTTCTCGTTCATGTCTGCCTGGCTGCTGACGTTCAGGCGGTTGACGAGAACCTCGAGTGGATGCTCAGCCTTGGCCAAGGCCACGTTGTTCTTGATCTCCATCTTGGTGGTGCTGATTGGGAGCATGCCAGGGTAATTGGCAAACTTCTCCTTGAACAGGTTGCTCTCGCCAAACTCATTGATCCTTGTGATCTTGGTCCAGGGCATGCGCTCCTTCTGTGAGAGCATAGCCAGTGCCACGCGGTAGCCCATCTTTCTCTGTGCACTGGATGACTCCTTGCCAATCCACATGAACACCTCGCAGTTGCAGTCAATGACATAGACAAACTTGGTGTTGAGCAGCTCCTTGTTGGGCAGACGCCAGTCGGTACCCTCCCAGGCCAGGCGCGCCTTTAGACTGCCCTTCTTCACGTCGTTACCAATGCGATAGATGGTCATCTTTGAGGACTCGGCATCCTGCTCCTCGGGGTTTGGAGAGGTCTTTGGTGCGCACATCCTGCCGCCAAGAATCTCCCAAAAGTCTGCGCTGTCCTCCTTGCCCTCGTCCAACTGGATCATGGCACTCTTTCCACCGCGCTCTTTCTGTCTGATACGATTGGCCAGGTCCAGTGCTTTGGCACGGTTGACTCTTGAGCTCTTGGCGCCCGACCACACAAAGATACGAGGGCCAGCGTCCAGAACGAATGAGTTGTGCGTGTTGAGCGAGCTTGAATCCAGCTTGGCCATTGTCACTCTGATCTTTCTCTTGCCCTTGATCTGCATCAACACCTTGACCTTGCCGTTCTTGATGGCGGTCAGATCGAGGAAGCGTGCATCGTCCTCGGTGAGGGGCGTGTCGTCCTTGTCCGAGATGCCAAACATCTTGATGATGTCGATTGATCGCTTGCGAGCAGCCTCCAGACCCTCGACCCAGCGAGCACAGTCATCATAGTCCTCGGTTGGCGGTATCGTTCTAAAATTACACATGACCACTCCATTGCTATCGTACAGGGTGAACTCGTTGGGTGAGAGCTTCTTGATGGATGCTACAGTCTGCATCTGGATGCGCAGCTCTGGTGCAGTGGCCTGCTTGCTCTTAGAGATGAACAGGTCCTCAGCCAGAAGGCTTACGTAGCAGGTGCTCCACATTGAGAAGATTCCGTTTAGCTTTCTAGACATCTGGCCTTCCAAAGTCTGCTCTTCCTCCTCCTCCTCGATGCCGCCAACGTTGTTCTCATCGCTTGATTGATCCTCGGTGTCACTGCCTGCTGGCGAGCCGATCTGGCGAGGCGCAGCAGCCTTGGGCTCGGCACCACTGATCAAGTTCTGTCTGAGCACGGATATCCAGGTCTTCATCTCGTCCTTGTTCTTGGCGAGAAGATGGATGATCCTGGACGAGGTTGTCAACTGGAAGCTGAATCCCTCGATCCTAAAGATCTCCTTGGTCTTGTGCACAGAGATGGCCTTCTCCAAGTGAATAGTCTCCAAAGGCTCGCCACTCTTGAGTTGCTTGTTCCTGAATGAGAACAGGATGCCATCAGACACGACGTACCACTTCTCGAGGTTGGAGTTCCAGAGAATACCTGGGACCAGTTCAAAGAGTGCACCCTCAATGACAATGTCCTGTAGCTTGAGAGTGTTGGCTGGCGAGGTTGATGCTGTGGATGAGTTGTTGTTGGATGTGATTGGGCGGCGTGGTTGAGTTTGGTGGCGTGGACATTCCAGCGGACAACTTGAGAGAGGTGAAGGATGGGTTGCGAGAGAGGAAACTATGTGTTCTCTTGACGGCGGGTGGTGGTGCTCGTGCACCATCGTTGTTGGTTGTCGACTGCGGAGAACTACCGCTAGCACTACCACTGCCGCCTGCACTGTTGTTGTCGGACGATATTGATGCTGGAGGTGGTGTTGGGAGTGGAGGCGAGGAGTTTGGCGAAACAAACTGGAAATCAGCCATGGTTGGTGTGAGCTGAGTGTTGACGGACTCATCGACAGACTTCATCTCCTTGTGTGCGTGGATGGACTTGACCCACTGATCACGATGCTCCACAGAGCTGCACTCCATCTTGAACTCCTTGTTGTTCTTTGTAATGATTATGAATCGTTGCTGCCACTCCTTTGCCGGTGACTCTTCGTAGATGTCCAGAGACTTGATGTTTATCAGTGGTGTATCCCATAATGCCTGTGCTGAATCCTCGTTCAAGAAGCAATATAGTCTATCTCTGACAATCTTTAAGTATCTTGGTTGATAGGTATTGAACAACCAACCATCAATCTCTTGCTTAATGTCTCCTTCCATGATGAATGAATCCTCCTAAAGTGTGTTTGTTGATACATGTGTTAGTGATTGATCACTCTTGGATTAATTGATCGAATAAGGTGATCCTTACATTCAACTGTGTTGCCATCTGCTCGAGCTTGTCCTTTTGCTTGCTCTTTCCACCTTCCTCCTCAGACACCTCGTAGATTGATAACATTCCTTCTGGTCTCATGGAGATGGTGTGTGGTGTGACCTTGGAGTCGCGATTTCCAAACCAAAGTCCGACATCGGTGGTGGGATCGCCTGATGGTGCAGGTGGGAAGATGTCCTCCTGGAACAATTGTGACTTCCTTGGAACCATGAACGACACCATTTCAATCTGATTGCTGGTGAGCCGCAGGAACCTGTCGACTTCGCACAGGTTGACGTCGCAGTTGCTCTTGGGCAGAAGCGAGATGGCCGACTGGGTGTTGTTTCCAAACGATGCCTTGCCAATTGAGTGAGACATTGTGCGATCGAGCTCGTAGTAGTAGATGCCATCTCCTTTACCGCCTAAATAAAGGATGTTGGTGGCGTAGTCGTAGTACGGGTTCAGCACACTGCTGTCCGTGGTGATGGTGTTGGTGTGCAGAGTCTTGGAGAGGTCACGTGGATCCCACAGGTAGAGTTGTCGTTGCGCTCCCTTGTTGGCACCCACCGTGCAGAGCAGGTCCAGTCCATTGGCATCGGCCCAGACCAGCTTGAAGCCCTGCGCGCCCTCGTGTGTGACGACCTCGTGCACGGGCATGTTGGACGTGCGAGGGTCGTATATCCTCATCTTCTTGTCTCTGGACGAGGTGGCAAAGCGTTGACCGCCCGACCAAGTGTTCCATGCCAGTGACAGGATTGTGTCGGTGGCGCCAGTCACGCGCTGGATGACCTTGCCCTCCTGTGACAGATCCCACAGATCAACAACGTGATCCGATGTGGACGAGAGGAACAGCGAGTCCACCGAGGGGTGGAAATAGACGCCAGTGATTCGCTTCGATTGTTTGGGCAGAGAGAGCAGTGGCTGTTCAATGTTTGACTTCATATCTTGATCCTCGATGTTCCACAGCTTGACGGTGCAGTCTCTGCTGCCCGTTGCAATGACCTGATCATTGAATGGACTGAATTCGAAGCAAGTGATTGGGTCAGTGTGACCCTTAATACAGAATGGTGAGTCTGGTGCCTTGCCATAGGCTGTCAGTTTGGATACACATAAACATGATCCACCTATGATTGATTGATTGTTAGTAATATGTTGAGTTGATTGGATGGTTGATTGACATACCTCCAACAGCTGATGGATAGGCAAAAAGTGTCTTTGATGATTTGAGTAACTCCTCGGCTGAGGCATTGATCTTTAGATTGGTGAAGAATAGCTCCTTCTTGCAGACCTTGTGAAACAGGTTCCTGACCTTTGATTCCCTGACGATTTGTTTCTCTACTTGTTTGTATTCCATGTCTGGATTATCGTCGGGTCTATCTATATATATATCTAATATCTTAATATTACAACAATGATTGATTGATTGATTGATTGATTGATTGATTGATTTCCAAACTTTAAAGTTGTGTGTCGTTGTGGTGCGTGTCCTCCTTGGGTTGTCGACACGACCTCTGAGTCCTATTAATTTTAAAGTGAGTGATAGAGAGTTAGCTAACTTGAATAAATGTATTATTAGGGTAATATGGTATGGATGGAAAGATGGATCATGATGGAATGGCAATAGATGAGAAGTATGGAGTGCTGGATCGATCGTGGGCACAAACACAACACAACACAACAGACAATAGATATACAATACTCACTAGTATACTCAATAATAACAACAAATAATATATGTGTATATATATATAAATATGGGTAATATTTGTATATAAATAGTGTACCAACAACAAGAGATAGAGAAGAGATAAAGAGACTGGCCAATATACAATAACAATAGTGCGCGCAAATACAAATATAGTTGTTATTGGTATTGAAGGGACAACTGTTGATCAACTATTGATCCGCCTGTCTGTCTGGTGTGTGCATGTGGAGAGGCGTTGTTGACAACAATACTAGTTGTTGTTGTGAGTGTGAGTGTGTGAGTAGACTCCCGCGGGAGGTGGAGGCGGGAATCAATTTGAAACTGCAAGTTATTGGTTGCGTTCCCTGTTAACGATCACATTATCATTATTGTTATTGTTATTACTGTTGATGATGTAGTAGTCGATTGATTGATGGGTGCAGGAGCTGTTGACCATCCTTTCCCGCTTCGGCAACAACCCAAACGGAACACACCCACACACATCCCCTTTCTCTCTCTCAATCTCTTTCTCACAACACAACACAACACGATCGAGTGCACTAAAGATGGATGGATGGATGAATCACACTCTGTTATCATCTTCCACTCCATCGGTGATAATAATGGCTGTGTATGGTTATTTGGATGGACCACCCCACCAACCCCCACCAACACACGAACACAAACAAACATGATACCAACTTAGGTGTGTATGTGTGTAGAGATAAAGCGAAATTGCTATCTGTTGTTGTTGCTGTTGCTGTTGATGTTGTTGTTGTTGTGCTTTGAACATTGAATCAATGAGCATACGGCATACGCATTTATCACCCCTTACTATATGCTCCCTTCGAAGCCAAACATGTGATGATACAATGGAGGCAAGCCATTGAGTAGACTCTCTCGAAAACAAACAATGAGATGATGAGATTACAAACCTTGAATTGAGGGCTGATGCTACCTCTAAAATGTATCTGTCCACTGACACTATATATGTAGTGTGTTTGTTTGTTGCAATGCAACGTACTAATACTATGTCTTTTGGAATAGGAATATCTATAAATATATAATATATGTATTTGTAGTTGACAAGTTAAGGTTGTGGATAGATAGATAGATAGATAGGATGGACAGGATGGATTGGGGACTCAACCCGACCCCAAACCACCTACGGATATTCTTTTTCTAAATTTTAATTTAATTGTTGACTTCAAAACTACCAGCAAAGATTGCTTCAACACACAAGTGGTTGTCGTTTATGACAAGTCAAGAATTGGCGCACACTTAACCAATGTGCTGTGTTTGAACTTTCAATTGAGTTTTGTTGGGACCCAATCTCGATTCAATTCAAATTCATTATCTCACCTTTCGATTGTCGTGTTCAAAAGAATGTTAACTGTTGCGATTGGTGTAAAGTGTAACAGTGTTGTTGGTATCTTAAACAATAATATCAAGAGATCGATCATCATCTCCAACTTCAATACCAATATTAATAATATCAACATACTAAGTAGAAGGAGGTTTACAACAACAACAAATAGATTGACAAAGACGACGATGAATGAATCTACATTCTCTGTTACAACCTTCAACATATTGGCACCATGTTATAATAGGACCAATCATTATGCTTCACCAGAGGCCATTGCAGCTAGAGATCATCCTGTTGCCAACAACAACAACAATAACAAGCTTGTAGATGTTATTGAATGTTCTAGACAATATGATATACTTCAGATTCTACAAACTGTGGATGCGGATATTATAAACCTACAAGAGTTCTTCTTTAATAAGGACTTTAAACAGTTGTACGAGAGTACATTGTCCGATCGTTATCAAGCATTCTATCTTCAGCGAACTAGTGGCAAACTAGATGGTGTCGCCACCTTTGTAAAGAAACATCTAAACATCAAACATCAACATATGCTAGAGTTTAAAGATCAAGGTGATCGTGTTGCCCTGATCCTTCACATAGACAGTCCGTCATCATCCTCTTCACCTTCAGTATGTCATGTCATGTCCTGTCCCATTAAGATCCAACAATATTAACATTCATTCATCCAACACAGGGACATGAGTTAATACTTGCCAACACTCACTTGACCTTCCCTCATACAGTGTTTGATGAGACAATACTGCGGCGAACACAGATCGAGTCAATACACAATAACATTCAACTATATCTCAATGAGTATGTACACGTGTACATGATGAAACACAGCCAACCAATGGATATCCAACATTCTAACTCAGACATCTTACTTGGACATAGGATCCAACAAGTTGGTAGTATACCCATTGTGATTTGTGGCGATATGAATACACCAACAAAGAATGAGGAATGTGTTGTCAATAGATTCTTTAGACAAAAGGGATATATATCAACATTCAATTACATCCATCCAGAGATCAATCACTTTGTTTCACATAAGAGTCATAAAGATCAAGAGGTTGGCGCAGACTATATCTATCTCTTGGACAGCAACAACAACAGCAACAACAACAACAGCGACAACAAGAAGAATATCCATATTCAACCAATTGAATCATATCTCTTTCCAAAGGAGGTGCCTGCAGATGTAAGTTAGGACATATTATACTTTATTCCAATATGGTTATTTACTGACTGATCCATCATTATCATCATTATACAGAAATGGATCAAAGGCTTTGAGTCCTCTGATCATCGACCATTAACCACTTCATTCAGAGTGGTTCAATGAATGAATAAATGACCATGGTACAGTGAATGTTGATTGTGCCACCAGCAATGTATATCCAATCAATCCAATCCAATCAAAGCTTTATGCCTGCTTTGCTGACACTTTGTTGATACCTTGGTTGTACTTTTGTTCATAGGCCTTGTAGTCAGCAGAGTCTGGTGCTGGAATGAACTCTGCACGCACCAAACACTTTTGTCCATTCAATTGGATGACCTTGGTGGCATTGGCCACATTGGCTGGGTTCAATTGCTCTTGCTTGCTTGTCAATGGAACGAATCTGACGGTGCCACGTGGTGAGACCTTGATCGATCCGTCTGGCAACTTGTCAACGATGAGCAATTCATGGAAGAGGTTGGATGGGCCGACAGGGATCACCATTCTTCCGCCAACCTTCAACTGATTGACCAGTTCGCTTGGCAGTTCGCTTGCTGCTGCACCAACATAGATGCAGTTGTAGGGTGCATTTTGTGCATGTCCTTTGAATCCATCACCAACATTCATTGATATAATACTGAGTAGTTTGCTGTCCTTTGTTGAGTTGAGCGCAGAGGTGATGTTCTCCACTGATGTGTCGACCAGTTCTTGGATGTGATCGACGCCCACCACACGTCCATTGATGCCAACCATCTTGGCCATACAAGCAGAGATGTATCCAGAGCCCGATCCAATATCCAATGCGATTGAGCCTTCTGTAAGATGATCTGCCAAGAAGTCCAACATCAGTCCAGCCATATGAGGTGCAGACAACGTAGCATTGAAACCAATGGGTTGAGGCACATCCTCATAAATATTCTTTATGTTTGAAGGTAAGAAATGCTTCCTATCAGTTGTGGACATTGCCTTTGCCACACGAACATTGGTTATCATCTTCCTATCTGTTTGAATGAGTGATGTTAGAGACAATAGACGACTCGAGGCAATGAATGAATGAATGAATGAATGATAGTTACGATGCATTAAGAAGTCAACCAATGCTCGCTGGGATGTTGGTATTGAGCCAGCAGAGTATGAGATGTAACGCCTGGCAACGTATCTTGACGTGAGATAGAGTGCACTTGCACCACCTACAACCATGATTGTGTATTTGAATAGTCTTATAGTTCTATAGATGAACTGTGGTAATGAACCATTCCTATACAATGATATCAATGGAAATATCAACATGTTACAATTATACTATAAATGGTTATATTATTAATATATACAACAACAAAGGACAACCTAAAATGAATAATAAACTTGTCAGATTGTCATCTTATTTATCAAAAAAGGTTGTTGGTTTCTCAAATAATTTTTCAAAAAGTTCTATTTTTGGTTTGTTTTTGTTGACTTTGGTTCATCGAATCAATTTAGAAATAACTATTCCATACAGATATATCAATTATTCTTCAATGACATAATGTTTATGGTTACTAATACTAAAGAAGTTGATTATGAAGATCAATAATTGTTTATATCTATTTATTTGATTACAAGTCAACATTCTGGCTGTTTGTGAGATCGAAGCAATGGTGATGGGACCTACCCATTGTAAAGCCTGTTTCGTTTCCAACCCAAAACGGGTGGAGATATTTTTTGATCAAAGGCAAAGTCCTCAATGGTTGGACCCAACAGACTTGTCCCATATGCGGTGTTCGAAACACACCTATCATTCAACCATCTTATAATTATAAACTGTACAAATACATAACTCTTTCAATCAAACACAAGAAAATGAACATATTTATTTTATTTATTACAATTTGTATTCTAACAACACCATCAGTTGTACAGTCTGCGACATGTGGTCTGGATCAATCATATCATACAGCAATTGCCACTTGGTATCCAGGTGATTATCAAGGTGCCTGTGGTTTTGGTCCATTGTTTGGAAGCACCGGTCCCCACACACCATACATCACAGCACTGTCTGCATCATGGTTTGACGCATCCACCCAGTGTGGCGTCTGTTTCGAACTGACCTCACCATACACCAACAAGACCATCACAGTGGTGGCCACTGACAACTGTCCCGATTGTCCAGAGGAGCATCACTTTGATCTGTCCAAGGATGCCTTTGCCCAGATGGCCGACCCCAGTCTCGGTCGTCTCAACAACATCACATGGCGTCAGGTGGCCTGTGGCAACATTGGATCGTTGGGCATCAGTTTGGTCAAGGGATCCAATCAGTATTGGGTTGGCTACGTGATCTACAATAGCTACGTTGGCATCAGCAAGGTGGAGGAGCAGTTGAATGGAACGACAGAGTGGGTCAATGTACCTCGTGCGCCATACAACTACTTTGAGAGCAAGGTGAACCACAAGGATCAACCATATAATGTTAGAATCACATCGATCCTTGGCGAGCAGATAACATACCAAGTGCAAAAGGCAGAGCCATCCAATCTCCTGGTGAAGTCACAGTTCAGTGCAGATGGTTGTGCCGCTGGCAAGTTATTAATTATGGCAAGTGGAGCCAATCACTCAATCACCGTCCAAATCATTCCATTGATTGGACTGATCATCACCTGTACCATGATGTTGTTGTAGATAGACAATAAATGTTATGATGTTTATTGCAAGGCAGCTTGACCTATGTTTGTGCTGCTACTGCTTGGACCGATCTTCTTCTTCCTCTTGATCATCTTCCATTGTCCAGACTCATAGTCTATCTCAAAGATGACAGTCTCAATAAACATCTCATCCTTGTCGTTTGGTCTTTGTTCAATACTGAGTGGTATCTGTTTGATGTTACCATCTTGAGGTGTTGGATTAACTGTTGTAGAGTTATCATGTTAGTGTCGCCCACAATCAATCCAACAACAACGCGCCAAGGTACGTACCTTTGTCAAAGTAGACGAATCGTTCTATGATGGCCCTGTTCTCAAGGGTCAGATGTGAGGCTGTGTCCAATATTCCTTCCAGTGATGGTTGTTTGGCAACAGCTGCCGCCGCCTGTTGTTGTTGTTGTTGTTGTAGTTGTAGTTGTTGAAGCTGTTGTTGTTGCAGATGATGTTGTTGATATTGATGTGTAGGATCTACTGATGGATATTGATTGGCAATATTGTGGAAAGGTTGTTGTTGGAATTGTGTCTGGTTCTGGAGAAATTGKRGAATTGCTGTTGTTGTTGCTGCGGAGGAATCTGTTGTTGTTGCTGATACATATGTTGTTGTTGTTGTTGTTGGTACTGCATAAATGGTTGTTGTTGATGCTGCTGGAAATGTTGTTGTTGGAATGGCTGTTGTTGTTGTTGAAGATGATGAAGTTGTTGTTGTTGTTGTGATTGGAACGCTTCAGTTGATTGATGTTGAGCAGTCGATCGATGTAACATGTATTGTGGCTCCAGTGGCAGTGATCCATTCTGCTCCAGTGCATTCATCAACGATGATAGACCACTGAGGTCCTCGCCACCTCTGACATTCTGAAGTTGTGGTTGTTGATGTAGATGATGATGTTGTTGATAGTTTACATTGGATGATGCAGTGTCCGCCGTGACCACTGGCGATGAGAAATCATCCTCGCTCTTCATTGTAGGCGTTGACTCGGCGCCCGCCTTCTTCTTTCGCGTGACCTTTTGTTTCTTTGTGGCGGCCTCTGAGTCGTCCTTGTCCTTCTTCCTCTTCTCCTTGACCTCCTTGACCTTCTCCACCTTTGGCTTGTCCTTATCCTTGTCCTTGTCCTTTTTCTTCTTTTCCTTCTCCTTCTCCTTCTTCTTCTTCTCCTTCTCTTTCTCCTTCTCCTTCTTCTTGTCCTTTTTCTCCTTCTTCTCCTTCTTCTCTTTCTCTTTCTTCTCTTTCTCCTTCCTCTCTTTCTTCTGTTCAGCAGTCTCTGCATTAGCCTTTTCCTTCTTCTTCTTCTTTATCTTTGTCTCATCTTGTTGAGGTGGTAGTTGTTGCTGCTGCTGCTGCTGCTGCTGTTGTTCATGAAGTGCCTGTACTTGAGTGTTCATCTCAATGTTACCATTGTTACTAATATTGTTGTTGGATGATGATAAGTCATTGATTGGCTCATTAAAGTGTTGTTGTGTAATGTGTTGTTGTTGTTGCTGAGTCGACTGTTGCTGTTGTTGTGGTTTCTCATCTGTCACTCCTCCACTTGAGCTTCCACTACCTTCTTCATTGATTGATTGCCTCCTCTTCTTTGTCGTGGTGGTCTGTGTTGTGATCTCTCGCACCTGATCCAGTGATATCATGTGCATCTTGGTCTTCTTCTGGACTCCTCTCTTTTCCATTGCACTGCCGCCACTACTGCTCGCCAGACTGTGATGGCCGCTCATTGACAGCGACGACGACGACGACGATGAGGTACCCGACATGCTGAGCAGGTTCGATGAGGACGATGACATTGATTGGTGCTCCGATGCATGATGCGTCCTCGGTATGAATAGACTTGACTTTCTCAGAGGTGATGGCTGCTGCTGCAACAGCTTTAGCTTCTCATTCCTCAGCGTTGGACTGGTTTCGCTCAAGAGGTATGGTGACGACGATGTGATGTTTGATGTGGAGGTGGTCGACGATGAAGACGCTGCTGCCAATGATGAGCTGAGTGATGCTGACGACGACGACAGTGATGCTGACTGTGTGATGCTGGCTGGTGCCACTGGGATGCTTGATTTCGATGCTGTCAATGTGGGAGTGAAAAGTGTCTTCTTGAACACTGGCAACTCTGTCGTCGGCTTCTTCAAGGCAAAGTGTTTGTTCTCTGTTAGATTGTTGGCCAGAGGCACAGGCAGTGCCTTGCGATTCAAATACAAGTATTCTAATGGGTAGAAGTTTGGCGGTCCCTTTTTGTCCACTGTCGTCCAAGGAGGAGATTAGTGACTTGTTAGCATTATGTTGTTGGAGTGTCGGGAGAGCGAGACTTACATTGCTCAGATAGTTTCTTGATGGTGCTGTTGAATGGTTCTAGGTCCATGTTGATGGGGATCTTCTCCTCAGAGATACGCGCCAGTAGTTGAGCCAGAGCTCTTAGCCATTCATCCTCCTCCTCATCGGCAACCTGTAGTAGCATATTGATTGTCATGTCCAAGTCTTGAAACTGTTTCTTTCTCAGACTGAGAAATGAGAATAACAACTATGATCATTGTTGTTGGAGTTAGCATTGCTATCATATCATGTCTATCTCTTGAGCATCCACACATACCTTCATTCTTATCATTGAATCGATCTTTGTAAACTTTAGCAAACAGAACTGCAGTATATCCTTTGTGAGATGGGATGATAGTCGCTCAGAGCTCCACTGCTCTTCTAGTTTCGAAGTGAGCCATCCTTCTATATCTCTATGCTCCATAGTAGTAGTATGTCAATCTGTCGGTTATATGTATTATATATTATTAATGTTATGATTGTTGAATGAACTAGTGCACTTATATATATATATAACGATTCTCTCGCGATCTATCGTGTTTATGCTGAGTACCTGTCTAATGCTCGTAGCTGGCTTGGGTTGATACTATTATCACTTTCTTTGAAATGGGTGATGTGATTTGATTGATTGATTGATTGAATGAGTGACACTCACAATCTATCTAGTACTATATTTATGTATATATAGTTGAGTATCGTTGAATGAATTAATGACACCTACCCAACAACAACTGATAATGATCATTGAGTGATCATCAATCAAAAATTTGAATTTCTCACACAAATGTAACGGACACAAGGTCAAACCCCATTGCCTCACTTTGATCAAGTACGTGTGAGTGAGTGTGTTGTGTTATTGCTGGTGGAATACAGAATACGTCTGCCGCACATTATTGTTGTTGTTTGTCGACATTAGTATTATTAGAATCTGATATGACATGTTCAATCTCAATCATCTTCCAACTTGTCTACAAGGTTGTCTACCAATGAATCACCATTGATCAGTTTGGTCGTCACTACAATAAAGTCTCTGTTGGCCTGGTCCTGTCTCGAAAGGAATCGCAGTGCAGATATCTCGGCAAAGGTGACACCACCGATAAAGTAGACCAATGTGATGGGCTTCCTGTCGTTCTTGACGTTGGACATGGCACCTTGAGGCAGTGGCTGCACCTCTTCGAATGTAGGACCTGGAAGTGATCGCAACGTCTCTTCGATGGCCTTCCAGCCGTTGGGACGAATGGCGTGTTGGACCAGACGACAGCTGAGTGGCGTGTATCCACTGTACACATAGCCCATGTCTGTGGGGTTGTTCTCGTTGATCTCTTCGGTGATCAGGTTGAGATCGCGTCGCAGTGCTGGGAATGTCGATCTGGACTCTTGTTTCTTGAGCAGGCCAATGCGCTCAAGATTGGCCAGCGTGAGGATCAGTTCGCATCCGTACGATTGGACAATCTCGCGTTTGAACAGCTCCAACTGTTTGGGCTTGATACCATTGTGTGTGAGACTGTAGAGGATGAGCAGTCTGAGGATCTTGTACCATGGTGCCTTCTTGTTGATGCACTCCTCGAGGTACTTGTCCACCTCCTCCTGATAGAGACCGGCCAACAGGTTCTGCTCACATTCGATTCGCTTGGAGAACGCTGGTGTCTTGGTGATCTCAAGGATCCTCTCAAACACACTGGTATGGATGCGAAGACTGTTGTGCTGTGCCTGGTTCTGCGGGAAGTTCTTGACAAAGTCTCGCATGGCGGCGGGTGACTGCGAGTCCTTAAAACGCTTGTAGTAGTCATCAATGTCCTTGGCCTTCTTGTTGAGGATGCCAGAGAGCACTGAAAAGTTGATGTCGCGAATGTCCGAGTAGACCTTGTCGTTGGAGTGCAGAGGGAAGGGAACTTTCTTCTCCGAAGGTGGAGGGGGTGGTGCGCCCTCCTTTGTTGGAGGTGGATTGACCAGGTCCTCATCCAAGTAGACGGCGTTATTACGGATGTTGAAGAACTCGTCGATCAATCCCTCATAAGTAAGCTGTGTGCACATTGGTGTGATCAAGTCTACATCACGATCGATAAGGATCAAAGAGTCGATCTCTGGTGGTACTGTACACTCCTCGCCCATCTCTTTCCTCATTCTTGTTATCAAGTCCATTACGAGCTGTGAGGGTAGTATTGATTGAATGATGGTCAGTATGACTATCTGGGATTGATCCAACTCCATGACACACATACCCTTGAGCATTGTCCCTTGCCCTTGACGACGGGGATAGTTCCAAACATTGATTGCAACTTCATCAGTGACTTGGCGACGTAGAACAAGGATGTTCTATCTCCCTCCAAAAGGAACTCTTTGTAGGCTGTTGGCAACTCGAGTGATAGGACATCCTCGTCGAATGGTACAATGTCCAGGGGTAGCTCATATGTGGCCTCGATGTTGCCAGCAACACCTTCCTCCTCCAACACACGCTGTGCAAGGATAGTACTCCTTGGTATATAAATGATTCCATAGTTCTTCTTGAAGCCATCATCCAAATGTCTCTGAATGTGCTCCTTAATGATGTGCATGTACTTGATCTTTGGTCTAATGATATAGATAATGTTGGCAGACTGTGTATCCAATCTACCTGGCTTCAGCTCATAGTTCCTCTCTGTACCATTGCTCTGAGAGTGTGTGACGTGTAGTTGTTAGTATCTATGATTGATTGATTGAATGAATGAGTCGCCAACAACACTTACAATCAAGAACTGTGGATCAACGATTAGATTGAGTAGACCTATGATCTTTGGGTCCATGACCAATGCCTTGGGTCCTTTGATGATGCTCAGAGCTTCACCTAGCTCTCTCTTTGATTGCTCTCTGATCGATGTTAGATTGAGCACCTTGCTCGATATGTTTGGTATCTGAGATAGAACGATTGGTGCAGCCTTCTTGGTGATGGCTGGTGATGGTTGTGCTGGTCTGCCCATCATCTGTGGCATCTGTTGCTGTTGAGGTGGCATGCCTTGAGGTCTTTGTTGTTGAGGTGGCATACCTCCTTGTGGAGGCATACCCTGTGGTGCAGGCTTTCTATTCATCCTTCTTTATATATGTATTATCTCTCTGTACAATGTACAAATAATTAGTATCTTCTTCAAGACTGAAAAATCCACTGCAAGTTCATCTTGTGATTTGCGATTCGAAGTGTCACCACCCAACACTTGGACTTCAGAGTTGCCTTTGTGTAGTTCAGTGTCTTGGTCTAACCTATGAGTATCTATAGATACTATTCACTGCTAGCAGATGGTGGCGTATCACTCGTGGACCATAACAATGTCCAATAAACATAGGCGGTAGTATCCTTCGTGAATGACATTATTTATTCAGCTTCCTAAGTTTGAATATACCAGACTTGAGTTTGTAGCTGATGACAATCTTCTTCCTAAGATGAAGGAGTGATCCAACTACGACGACCACAACAACACATGCAATGACAATGCCCACGATGGCACCTGTGCTCAACTTTGATTTGCCAGACTTACAAGAGACCAACACTCTAAGTGATTTGGCATCCTGACCAACCACATAGTTACAATCATCATGATCAGACTCCTTGTTGTTACTGTTTGGATCGAATGACTTGATCTTGACATTGGCAAACTGTCCACTTGCCTCATTAAAGTTGACAACATTGATTGACTTGCTGGAAACAAAGAACTCTTTGTTGATCTTTACGACCAACTCACCATCGAATGTTGCCTTCTCTGTGATATTGACTAGATGTTTGGCAAGTTAGTACTATCTTCTTGATTGATATGAAGTATTAATACTTACATTCAGTAAAGTCACGCTCAGAGTTGATGATCACTACCATGGTACCTTGAGAATGTTGGGTAAGGTTACCAACCACTTGGAGCGATGTAGGTTGGTAGGTTGATTGGTTGTATCCAAGTGTACCATTAATGGTCAGTGATGCAAGGATTGTACCATTCCTTCCAGCAAGGTATCCACCTTGAATGTCAACCGTGTTGTTTGATCCCAACACTGTACCATTGGCAATATTGGTGATACCATCTGATTGAGTGAACAATGATAATGTCAATGAACTATTAATATTAACTTGTCCATTATTATTGAATGGTATCTATAATCAATAATATTAGTATGATGAATGAATTGTATTTATAATGTTTGACGATACTTACCATTATTTCTTTGATCTCTGAGGAGTGAAGTGATGAGAATGTACCAGTGTTCTCAAATATGATATCATTGACATTGGTGGATGACTTTAGGATACTTGATTGGAGGTTGAAGGTACCATTGTTGCTCATGGTACATCCAGGGAACACTGTGATATGTCCTTGTGATTCGACATGTCCATTCAAGTTGATGAATGATGTGTTTATCATGTGGATCGATGATTGGGTGTCATATATAAAGTTACCAGAGATAACTGATATATGACTATTGGTACAATTGAACATTGATGCACCAATAATCGATAGATTACCATTGGTCACTGTTATGTTGCTTGATTCTCCCTTGAAGTTACCTCCAAACTAATAATAATAATTGGTTTCAGTTGTGATTGATTTAGTGGATGGATGGATAATAACATACGTTTGCAGTACCATTGGTATCAATCAGTGAGTTCAACGCAGTGATGTTACCATTCTATAATGGCATGAGTTAGAATCATCATAACATGTAGCCACTAATTAACTAGTACATACAGTATTGAATAGACCAATGACAGAGATTGTAGAGTTTGACAATTGGATGGTGGATGACACTGTGAGTGTACCTGGTACTGAAACCTTTGAACTGTCCAATGATAATATTGATCTATCTTGGAATGATAGTGTACCATTGACATGTAGTCTAGAATCATTGGTGAATGTACCAACAGCACTCTCTTTGAATGAACATCCTCCTTCTATTACTATGAATGCATTGTTAGTCTTCATCGTTGCCATTCCTTGTTGATTGTACTGTCCACGAACAACCAACAATGATTGATTGGACAATGATATCGCCACAGAGTCCTGTGCAGTATAACTTCCTTCAACTTCAAAGTGTGATCCATCATTAAGTATCAACTTGGATGAGTTCTATTTTGATTGATTGGGTCAATAACATGGATGAACGAGGTGTGGATGGATGGATGTACATACAATTTGAAGTAGAGTAGAGTCAGGTGTACTGAGTCCAAGGAGTGAGGCACCTCGAACCAATACTGATGAGTTGCCTTGTAGTGTGTTGTTGGTGCAATCCAAGTACATAAAGGATCCATCATGCATATAGATAGTAGCATTGTCCTATATGGTTGTTTTGAAACATCGTTAGATACGACTGATGGACAGACATATAATATTTGATAAATGAAAGGGTATCACCTACTTTGATTGTGAACAACTTGGTGATGAACAGGGCGAAGGTATGATCCAACTCAAAGGTTGTGCTTGAGGATAATAAGATGGTGGAGTTAATGAATGCATTGAATTGATTCTTACTAAAGTTATTAAGGTCATAGTATGTTGATGTTGAGAGGTATAGTGTAGCATTATCATTCAGACTTAGTGTCATATTATCAAATGTCACTTGTGATTCACCTGTTGTCATCAATACAGAGTTGCCTGTGAATGCTGATGTACTATTGGCCATTATAAATGAAGTATTGGCCAAACCTATTGTTGATCGATCCTATCAAATGAGTTAGTATCCATATGGTATCTGTTTGAGTTAGTCCTTGAATTGGTATAATTACATTAAGATGGATATCTTGAGTCCAGACAAGGGTTCCATTGAGTGATTGGTATGATGATTGTTGGGAGAATGTTGAAACTTGATTGATGTTGATCTGTTGGAATTGATTGATCACTATGTGTCAGTTCATAATAATACATCTAGACTAAGGGGAATAATAATAACTTTACATTTTGGTTATCCAATAGATGTCCACAGAAATAACATAAGAATGTACCATTGTTTGACTTTATGAATCCTTGTTGCATGGCCAGCACAGAGAATAATACATGTACCTCTCCATTGTTCTCAAGTACACCTGCCACACTAACCATTGACATATCAAAGCCATTAGACACTATATGTATATTAGTAATAATGAGCTGGATTGGACCATTTATGTGTATAATAACATACATATAGAGAATGAACCAGTTTTTTGAACAGTAAGATTGCCTGTGATTGGAACAGTTCCACTTGCCTTGAGATTTCCGTAGGCGTTGATTAGTCCACTCCTAAAAGGGGCATTGACCACACTTATTGTTGACAGTGGATTGATGATTGTTGTTCCAAATACTTTAAATTGCGCATCTTTGATGTCCAGCTCAGTGATGGCGAATGGTACCGAGTTGGTGCCCATCGTCAAAGAGTCAATTGTCACTGGTGTTGGTGAGGTAACAAAACTGCCGTTTACAGAGACAATTACTTGGTCATTGGCCGCAGGCATTGTGCCTGGTATCCACTTTGCAGAGTTGTTGAAGTTGCCTACACCTCCTTGCCAAGAGATAAGTCCTGCGTTGGCTACAGGCCACTTCTGGCATTGAATTGAGGACAGTAGTATGATAAGTGATAGTACAAGTTGATGTTGGTGTTGCATAGTTATTGTTCTGAATGACAAATAAGTGACACCTTCAAGATGTGTAACTTTTTCAAAATAATACAAATTAATGACTTTTAGACACGCAAGATCCTTTTAGTAGATCTAATTTTGGACTAACAAAAATCTGACAAAAATCAAGTTGCGGAACTGAGGACCAATTTCCTTGTATGAAGCTACAATGGTTCTCCTTCTAAAAGAACACAACTTAAAAGAGATCAAAAGAATATAACCATCTGGATATCCAAATATGGAGTGGTCATTTCTTTCCCTTCGGACTGAGTAATATAGTAATAATCTTTTTGATTGCCTATAAATTAAAATTAAACAAACATGTGATCCTTTCAAAGGATGTCTTTCTGATCAGTTAAACCAAAACAGCGAGATAACACGATGATACTACAACTATCTCGTTTGATCATTATGTCGATCAGTTCTTGGATGCAGGACATTGATCAAGTCAGTCTGTCGCTGACCTGTCACGGACTATTTGACACTTTCAAAGCATCAAGCTTTCTCTTTGGTCACCGCCTCAACCAAAGTCTTCATTCTGGGATCACTCCATCATCGGTCACCTCGTTGAAGTTAAGTCCCGGCTTCAACCAACCTCTACTCGCGGGACATATTCCATTGTCAGTCACTTCGTTGACCTTTGGTATCAGGTTTAACCAACCTCTGCTCGCTGGACACATTCCATCGTCGGTCACCTCGTTGGACATTGGTCACAATTTCAATCAACCTCTGCTCGCTGGACACATTCCAGCATCGGTCACTTCATTGACTTTCGGACTCTTCAACCAGCCTCTGCTTGCTGATCATATTCCATCGTCAGTCACCTCGTTGATCTTTGGTAGCTTCAAT